CGACCGTTTCGCTCCTGGGGGGATATATCGGCAGTTATCCTTGGACAAGGGGCGACAGTTCACTCCTGGTAGGATAACGTCAGTAATCTGTGAGATTTCCCTAGCTTATATATGTGTAGTATGATATAGCCCCCAAGGCCAAACCTAAATGTAGATCATCATGAAATGTATATATTTGTGTATTGTTGAGTTCTTGTGTTATATGTATAAACATGTGTATGCTGATTTATAAAACATATACAACAATGTTGGTCATGATAACATTGCATACCTCAAGCTCTACAGTTAATAAATAGCATTTATTAAACTGTATCATATTGTTATGGTTGTTTATAAATTGGTATGTTATCTTACAGTCTGTCATGCTACTTTAATAGATCAAGTATAATACCATCATCCTCCAGAAATTTCTTGGAACTATTTAAATGGGACACCATTTCCGTGTTGTGTTTCCTTTTTATCATGTTTATTATGTTGCACAGAGTCGGTAAATTACAAGAAAGACTGTTTGAAGGCAGAACTTTAGTTTGAAAATAAGGACAGTATGGTCCATTTAACACTTTTAAGACAGACTTAATTATCCAGAATGTTCACACAATGGCATAAAGAAATGGATCGTTCTAAGACCAAGATACAACGAACTTTTATATTCTATATTGCATAACTATTGTTATTTCTTTAAATAAGATTAGTGAAATACAGAATTTTTCTTTACATTTTTTTTAATTTACAAACCTTGCCTCTTTGGACCACACATGGTTCTCAGAATCTTTGAAAATAAAAACATAAATGTGTATGCCATACCTCAATTCTGTGGTGTTGTAACAAGCGCACTTCTGACATCATATGGCTCAATATCCTACACTATGCTACTTACCGTTCAAATCTTTCTATATCACCTTAGATTGGGAATTGTTTAAGCACTATCAAATAAACTAGGAAAATAATTTCCAATTTAATTTTGAATATATTTGTATTATTACTTCCAAATATTATGTAGTGATGAATTCTGAAAGGAAGGGATTATTTTCTTATCCTTTCCTACATTCTGCAAAATATAACATTTGGATTTGCTGGTCTAGTTTACACCTGTGGAGAACACCTGTTAATTAGGTTTGATGTTTGTCTCTGTCCCGTGTTTGTGTACACAGGGCCGCACCTCCATTGTCGTCGAAAAGAATGATTTATTATCAGGGAGAAAACGTTCGATTAGACATTAAAACATCTATTTACACTATACCTGTATGTAGGAATAGAAATGGCACAATTTCATAAAGTTAAACTTACAAGTTATTTATTATTTTTATTTACTAAAAATTCTAGGATGATTTTTGTTTTCAACTTTGTAACTTGGACTAACCAGACTTCAAAACTTTGACTAACCAGACTTTCTTAAATCAAATCCCTGATTAAAATTAGATTTTTAACAGAGACAAATTTCAGTTTGAATAAATGCTGTGCATGTTTAAATTGTTAATCTCATAATATTTAAAAAATATTTAGGTAGTTATACTTTGAATATATATGCTGTTCCAGATGTACTCTCCCAAGAAAACACAACCTGCATATATTAAAAAAAAATCTAGACCCACCCTCCCATGTCATTTCTTAAACACTTATTTTACTCTGCAAACTTTATCTTGATACTGGAAATATTATTTTTGTTCCGACAGTCACACTCTGTGTACTGGTACTAGTGGTAGTTTTTTTTTTTCCATCACCCCACCACCATCTGAGTATTGCGTCTTTGCGTATTGTAGAGTTATCTTCTCTTGTGAGCAGGTATTGATTGTTACGTCATTGCTTTGTGCGAGAAAATTACGTCGTTTTCTCAAAAATTGATGACATTACTCTCACAAACAAATGACGTAACAATCAATACCTGCTCACAAGAGCAGATAACTCTGCAATACGAAAAGATGGAATATTTCATTTGATAGATCCATGATGGAGATATTGATGTTGGTACATGTACCAGTATGAAATATTATATCCCTCCCATACACACCCAAATATGTAATAGGCCACCTGTTTTGTTAAGTTAAAACCTAAATCGATGATTTTTTTTACATTTTTTATCCTCTAACCTACAAATGCAAGTGTAAATGTAATCTATATTTTTTTAGTTTCTTTTCTGTGTAATTCAAATTCAAAAGACTGATGATTTTTTTATAAATTTCACCAGCTAAAACACTAATCCAAAATTCTTTGACATACCTTTTTGTGATATAGTATTCAAATTGCTTGAATTTGAAATGATTTTTTTTTGATAAGCTGGTACTTAAAAACCTAACATATAAATATTTGAATCTTGTGCCATTTCGCCCTAACATTGACCATGGACATCTAGTGACCGCTCTCCTGTGTTGCAAAGAAGATTGGTTATTTGGTTACAGGACAAAACTGGTCTGATGTGGCGAACCAAACCTGTCTTCTGGATTGGGTGGAATTCCCAGGTCCCCTGTCCGCAGTCTGCGACTAATCTCTTCGATTTGGAGGTGCACTGGAATGCAAGCGGTTAGATTAACAATACATTGACACAACTAGATATTTCCAATTCACACTTTAGCCACCAGCTTAAGGACCAAGTTTCAAATAATCTAGTACCTCAAATGTATCCAATATCATTGTAAATGTTGGATTTATTTATTGTTCGAACTAACTACTTTCATTTGTATTATTATTATTCTGTAAAGGTATGTGGATTTGAAAAGATTAAAAGTTAGCAGGCCTCAGTTTTGTTTTCCATTTTCATGAGCTAGATAATGCAGCAGGCCAGAACTTTTAAAGCATTATAACTCTTCAAATAGGAGTAAAGTGACCCGAAATATTAGTAACTGAACAATGTTTAGCATAGAAGAGAAATGTTGCCTAAAAAACCAACATATATTGACCGCTTTAGTTTATAACAAACTTTCTTTTCACATTTTAAATGTTTATTTTTTCTGGTTAAGCCGAGAATGACTTTTGATTTTGTCTGATAAGTACATTTCACTAATGTACACTGGTTATACAGTAAATCATTTTTGTTAAGGAATGATACTGAAACCTATCAAACGACAAGCCAAGTTGATAACCAGCATGGCAACTAATCCATAGTTTACTCCTGTTAGAACAAAGCTGGTGTTTTTTTATCTAAGTTAGGGAAAAAAAATTGGATCAGTAAACCCATGTCTCACATTAACAGGAAATTAATTATGTTATTGAGATATCGAGATGAGAAATCTGAGTGTTATCCAAACACTTTTCCATATGGGATCAATGGGTGTTGAAAATATTCAGCCATTATTAATTACACTACTCCTCAAACAAGTTCCGGGATCTGTCCCCATTAGTGTCCATCAATTGGCACATAAGCTCTAGATATTCAGAAAGGTAAAAGATATTGTCATATTCTAAAAAATTGTTAAGTTTTCTTTTCGAGTAAATACTAGCATTAGACATTATCTCCCAGTTTTGATATAAATGCCAGAGAAAGTAATTTCTTGTCAACTTTTTGATGTTTCGACCCCAGGCATGTGCACGTCGTGAAAACACTGTGAAAGTTATTATTAACAAATTTGTTCATTTATAAATACAGGATTTCAAAGCCTGTGGTTTATCTTTGCCAAGTAATGTATATTACATAACATGGCAAAGATAAATCACAGGTTATTTATTTAAAAAGATCTTTATTTCAAAAATTAAGAAAAGAAATTTGGAATATTTGATCCGATGCTGATAAAGCTGGTGGCATGTTCATGTGATCAGGACAAGGAATCTACAAATAAACTGAATTATACAATCATAGAACTGCTTCTGGAATCGAAGGAAACTAATGTTTTTGTTATCAAAAGGAAAAATTATTTGATTCAAATCTTAATTAATAATATGCAAAAGATTTGCAATTCATCCAAAGGAGATATAATAATTATAAGTGTACAATACATTTATTATGTTATAGAATGACTGATGAATCATCCAGATTGTGATTTTAGAAACTGAAAGAATCAATGATTATAAAATGTGATTTTTCATATGGATATTGAAATGAAGAGAAAGCATTAACATTTTAATTCATACTTCCATAAGTTGAATTGACAATATCAACAACATCGACAACAACAAATGTTACAAAATTCCACAAAACTCCCTTTCCTACAAAATTAAATGTTTTTGGTAAATTAATCTGGAATGTTTTTCATTAAAAGCTGAAACCAGATTTGTGTTAATTGGTACATTAATGTTCCAATATGTATACAAAATGAAAATCTATACATAAAATTTACGTATCATATAAGACCATGAAGTGCATCAAAAGCATGCTCTGAAAAGGAAGGGAAACTTGATTTTAGATTTGATCTTCACTACTTACCAAACATAAATTGGAACGAAGCATGCTGATCTGTTACTAAATAAAAGCTAATATAAATAATATAAAATTTGTGAAGTACAACTATGTATGACATCAATCTTCCAGGCATCACCCTCTGCCTATGTTTTCGAATTAGTCTAGACAACAGCGATGTATATTTTCTGAACATATATTTCAAAAGGGTTCTTTTTGTTTCAATTTATTAACCTAGAGTTGCTTCCCATGATATTCCCTATGTCATATATATACTTACATAGATACTGTTTTTCCTGTATGTTACTCATGCCGGTTGGAATAACTGTTGGCATGCCAGGAATTACTGTCTTGTCCACGTCTGTATCTGTTGCCCATCGACTCTTCCTCTTCTTCTTCCTGTCTGATTCACCATTACCAGATCCATTGGACCAGCCTCCAGATGCTACAACCAAAATAACAATCAGGATATATACATGATTGATACCTCCAGCTACAGAAGAACAGATTTCATTGGTACATTATACATTCATTAGGAATGCTACCTGATCTCTTACAAAAGTTTATATCTCCAGTCTGGGAAAACTAGCTTATAAAAAGTCCTGAATTTTAACAAAACATTAAACCAATTTTCTGATAATTCACATTACGTCTCAATATATTGTCTAGTCCTAGGTTTCTGTGTATGATTTATTTCCACAAGGCCATTTTAACGAGCTGTAACTTGTACACAACTTAATTGCTTGACAGTACACTAGGGCGCTTTAGACCTTCAAAATATGTAGGAATTAATAACTGATTAAAACATGCAGAAATGTGCAGTTTTTCTTAATACACTATTTATCTTATCAAAATGAATCCATACCTCATCCTGAAAAAAAGAACAGTTAAAAAAATACTCATTCATAACCTAGTCATTTTGTTGTCTGTTTAGGTGGGTCCATCCTTCTCAAATTTAGCGCTACTGTGCAGGAAGCTGCGCATGTTGACTAAATTTCAGAATGATTTACGGTAACCTAACGACACCACGCTTGGATTTAAAAAGGTTCATCAATAATTATTAACAACAATTAAGAATGTCAACAAACAAACAAACAAAAACAAAAAATCCATTGCGACCATCTTTTATATAAAATTTAAATAACCGTATTTAATGTGATACTGAACTCCCTTAAATAAGAACGAAAGTCGTTTACACTGGAAGTTTACCAGCATCGTGCAGCTGATGACAGCGATCACGCGATATGAGAGCTGCCGAGGATAAAGTCTGAAAGTGAAAGAATATGTGCTTTTCGTTGTTATAGCTAACTTATCTACATGTTGAATACAACAAACGATGCGCAGAGTTTATCATCACTTAAACGGAATAGGTCATTTCGTATGATGGAAGAACTATGACCGTTACCCATCACACTGACGGCGACACTTCTCTACTCTACTGAAGGTCTTGACGCTGAAAATTTCATTTGAAGCTTACAGCAATTTTGTCTTTACTGTTGACAAGAGATTTTGTTCAGAAATAATTAGTAAATGGCAGTGTAAACAGCTTCAAGTGATACAGAAGAACATCTGAAAACTGCAACTGAAAACTAAAAATAAATGTCTCGAGTCATCGTCAATGACCCATACCGAACCGAAGCATTCAGACACGAGTAGACGAGTTTCTAAAATGAGGTAAGGACATCAGTGCGTATCTGTGTGCCCACAGGGGCTTGTATAGACTTATATGATAAAATTTAGGTAACAGTTACCCAGGTGAGTAACAATTTTATTACTGAAATGGGGAATAAAGTGAAATATAAACACACAAAGTTCTCTAAACACTTAGAGCAAAACAGAACATTATTCTTTCAACAAAATCCAATAAATAGCACAAAGAAGTAATTTATCAATTCTGATGTCTTACTTTTTGTGACAAGGACAACCATATCACTGACTTAGTTCTCCATTGTGTAGTCAATGGAACCATCCATTGCAAACCATTGCAAATGACTTAATGCGACAGGTAAGCAGGTTTACAGGTTTTTCGCCTACATCAGTACATTACTCCACCCATACAGGTTTTGTCTCACTGACGGAAGTCGGTGTTCTGTCGGCGTGCGCGTGTAAGCGTGATCTTTCTGGGTGCTATTTATAGCTTTTCTACAGCACACAATACGCAATGGAGGTGATACTTTAAATTAACAAGTACTCCTCTTAATTGTGAAATTCATTAATCAATGGTTTTTTCTCAACTTCACTTCTGTGTCAATAATAGTTTAAACCAATTTGGATTTCAAACATTTTGACCCCTAAAACACATCTCATAGGTGAAGGTGCTTAAGACAAGGCAAGCACTGATCATGATTGTAAGTATAGGTGCACGTGTAACACTTTGGGCATGCCAGAACGGCCATATTAGGATATTAAAGATATGTACAACAGTATTAACATATTTGTTTGCACAATTGTACCTCATTGTAATTTTCATTGGATTATATGTTCAAAGAATGACGCCCTTTTTTGTTCATAATGTGTATAAGACTGTTGTGTGCTTTTATTTCACTATATTTTCCCATTTCAGTAATAAAATTGTTACTCAAATAGGAACTGCTGTAACTGTTACCCACCACTACTCCTATAACATGAGAGGCCGCTGGTCAGCCTTTTTTTCTATCGGATATGAATGTGCCGACTGCGACGCGGCGCCGGTCAAAAGTTTTTCACCGTGTAAAACCTCTAACATTGTTGGAGTATGTTACCCACATGCAGAATTATTACCCATCATAGGCATAAAAAATAGGCTAAAACCCAGACCAGACCAAACAGGCATCATTCTTCCCTCGAACTATACCCGAGTGGAATAAACTCCCACCTGACATTATTTCGAGCCCCACAACGGAATTATTCAAATCAGCCCTCTACCGTCACTTTTCAAACGCAAATTAGACCATCTCGTATCTTTTAAAAACAATCTCTTTCCATCAGTTTCACTCCTCGTCTGACATTTTATCTTCAAATTGTTGAAGTTGGTCAGTACCATTTAGAAGTAGAAATACTTGTGCCCAACCTGACTAATATAAGGGCCATGGAATTGTTAACCATGCTACAGTGCTATGCTGCCTTGAAAGTCCGTTGAAAAGGAAACATATCAGCTTAAAAAAATATGGGGATAATGTAACCCTGCCTGACCCAAGTATCTAATACCGAAATATTAGTCGAATTATGCATGCGGGCACCTGTTAAAATTCAGACTCGACGTCATCAGATTCAAAGGATGATGCTCTAAGATGTAAATGAAAACTGATTTAAACTGTTGAATTCATAGCTACCAAAATTAACCCTAAGCCGCATGTGATTCTGTTTCGATTAAAAATGATCCAAAAACAGGAAACTATTTCGTGGAATCAATGACATGTTTTTTCTGACATATACGACAATAAGGATGCAATATTATCGTGCACATTCATCTGTAATATATTTACCTAAATCTGCAGGTCTCTTTCCCTGTGGTGTAAACATTTTCTCGAAATTATGCTGCTGTATTTTACATCACAAGTACCCTTAGAAATGGCGGACGTTTTTCTGACGTTATGTGATATTAAATTCGGCGGAGTCAATGAAAATAAACAAGTACAAATTTGCACAAAAATTGGTGGTATATATTTTAAAAAATATCACTAGTTACTTGATATTATTTTATGATTATTATAAAAATGTATTCAATAATGAATAACTTTGTATAAATAAATAGAAACTTCTAAAACATATCCAATTTTGTCTCGCCAATCCAGTTCTTAATAGTGTTCGATGTTTTTGATTCTTTGTCGTATTTATCAAAAATAATCTCTAAACGATTCCGAATAAAAACCCTTTTTTGTATATAAGCTAAATGGATGACCTAAATGAGTAATCGAAACTCAAAAAATTAGGTTGAGCTTACATACGTCAAGTATACAAAATAAAATTATCAAAACAAAATTTGAAAACACATTGTATAATCTCGAAGCCGACAGGAGTAAAGTGATGCAAAACACGTGAAATTTTGCCGGCGAAGATAAAAAGTGACTATGGTGAAGGAACAATTCCGAGAGGCCGATGTGGCTAAGAAAATGTAATTTAATTTTAGGTTTATCAGTACATATCATTTGTTACCTATTTTGTAAATGTCAACATAAAGTTTATATTCATGAACTCTGTTGCCTCATCAAGTCAGAGCACAGGGACTTGATAATATCAATATGCAGCAACACAACTTGAATCAAATCAGCGGCCCTGCCAATCACAGGGCTGTTTTCGTTTATCATGTTCCGAACAGTTTGGCAAGAGTTTTCTGTTTGTAAAATGACGGACCGAGACAATTAGTGTTGTTTTCAGGCGAGCCTTGATGGTCTGCATGCACACGGGGGCAAGCAACTACTATTTATAAATGTTTATATTGATCTTATTTGATTTTCAGTCGCTGGGTAAGATTGTGATATAACGTACCCAGCGACTAAAAGTCTACCGTCACTGTACCCAAATCGGTAGAGTACGGAACACTTGTAGCAAAACGTCTCAATAATCTGTCATGCAATTTAAAGAAGTATTTTTATAAATGCAGTTTTCACTTGATGATACTTTTATGACAATTTAACTGTATAGCATTGTTTTTGCTGCTGATTATCGTTACATGGACAATTTAAATCAAATGTAAAAATAATTACCAAAAACAAGAGACTTTCATGATTTACGTGCCGAGCAACACTATTTATTTGGATATCATTTTCAAAAGTCTATTTTATCAAAACTAACACTAGTATGGAGAAGGAAATGAATCAGAACTCCCTTTGACTCTAAAATATTTGAAGTATGTATAATTTTCTGCTGATATTTATCGTTAATCTCCAATATAAGCAAAAATACCAAAATGTCCTATTTCAGGGTACAGTTCAATCACACCTATTCAAGGACCTACGTGACCCTAATAGTATTTTGGGTTCTATTTATATAACCATGCGCCAGAAATACCAACTTATAGTAGAAATGAAAAGTGGATGCTATCTATTTATGAAAACTGAACAAACATTTTTGGTTTCTCTAAAAAGTGTACCGTTTTGGGTACAGTGACGTTAACAAGATCAATATTAATAGTAGTTGTATGTCCCTGTGGTCTGCATAGCACAGACAGGTCCATCACAGGGCTGCTGTCCTGGGCATCAGGCATTTTACATAAAAGTTAAAACATTCCAATCCTTTTTAAAAATGGAGCAACCAGTTGGTCCTCATAAACGAATAGGCCAAGATATATATATATGCATCCAAAACTAAAGGAATGATGTGAATGTGGTGTGAAAGGTGATCATTTTCAACAATGTAAATCACTTATATTTCTGACAGTATATATTCCCTTAAACCTCTAGATAAATGGCTTTTTTAATCCCCCAAAGACAGATCAAATGTACTCCATTCAAAACTATATAGAACACTGAAAAGCCCAAGATGATATTAAAAAAATAAAATGTATTCTTATGACACTAGTACTGTACAGTTTTGATATATAATGTCATTTGTATGATTTTCTCAGTTTTGAAAAAATAATTCTTAATAAAAAAATGTTTTGGTTTAACAGAAGCCATGTGACCTTCGGATTGTTGAACTCCCACCAAATGCAGCAGATGTCCCACCTGCATGTAGTCAGTAAAACTCTTTACAACCAAGATGGCAGCCGAAAACCTGTACCATATGGTGTGCTTGACCATAAGATGGTGAGAGGAATCGTCAGAATGTTTTGATACTCTGGTCTTGAGGTCATGAATCTGTATATTTCCTGTCTTGGAAACAGTCCAAATACATTTGTAGTATAAAAGAATGCATATTTACAATGTGTAGATGTGTGTAAAATATCACACTTCAATGTTAGTTTCAGTATTTGTAAAATTTACACAGGGATAATCCTGGATGGGGACATGGGGCCGGGCCATGACCCCTCAAAACTGAAATTGACCCCTCCATGTTCCAATTTTCTTTTAATTTTACATAGAATGGTCCCTCTTAATTTTGATTTAGACTAAAATTTGCTGAAATGGCCCACTGCTCTCAAATTCCAGGATTTTCCCTGTTACAGATTCTTAAAGAAGGATAAACTGCTTGTAGTCTAACAGCAAAATGTGGGCCTGACAAATTGGCAGTACTACCCATTAATATATGGAGATAAAGAAGACAAATCTGTATTAACAGGAATTGAAATGATTTTAATAAACAAGTGATATCTTCATTATCAGTCAATAAGCCCATGCTTTGTAAAAAAGACCACCAATACCAATTTAAGTTCAACAGAAATGTAGACGAGTGCTAGCTTGTTCATTGTCCTGTTAAAAGCCCATCTTTCAACTGTAAGTGAGAGATCTTCTGTTGGCCCACTGGGCTTATTGCAGGATACATACGGTAATTATGTTATGTGGTATAATGGTTGCAGGGTACAAGTGAGAAAGATAACAACTGTGATACATGTGGAAAGGGACTGGCAGATTGTACAGGACACTTTGGATACATCGACCTGGAGCTGCCCTGCTTCCATATCGGATATTTCCGGGCCATCATTAATGTTCTGCAGATGACATGCAAGGTAAGTAACACCGCATTAAAGCCATGTTGGTCTCTGTGGAGTATAACATATAGAACAACAAACGAACTTATCAGATGTTCAGGATTTAAGATTGACTTTAAAATCTTTTTGAAAGTAAATGAATCTTAATAAATGTTTCTTAGAAGGAATTTTGGATCAAACTTTTGTCTACTGAATTTTAATCTTAGGCTTATGGGATATATAGGTTACAGTAGACTGGCTACCAGCCCCTACGTTTTTATGAAGAATTTCTCATCTGCATTTTACTACTAGCTTATCTCCCCTTAGATTATAATCCGACATCCAAGTGATCAAAATTATTAGTTTTTTTTCTTTTTCGTCTAAATAATTTGATATCTATAATATTCTAGAGATAGGGGCCATTCTTAGGTTTCAGTTGTGCACTGATTTTTGTTTCTAGTAACAACACAGATTGTGAACAGAGTAGCCTACCCCTAAATGAGATGTCCACCTCATAATGCCAATTTAAAAACAGGCCACTGTTCACATGGTTATCGACATACATGCATAATTTGTTTGGCCTTGTATATGAATGCAGGAGTGCAGCGAAATTCTGCTTCAGTCCGAGGTAAAGACCAACTTTCTAGAGAGCATCAAGCGGCCACTCACCTACCTCCAATCTAAGGCTATGAAGAAAAAGATCTATGAAAAGTGTAGGAAAGTGTCCATTTGTCCGTCCTGTGGAGCATACAATGGTGAGAAATACAATAATGTTTTGTATTTATTAGTGTTGCTCCGATAATCGATTATAATCGAAAATCAATCGATTGTACAACCAACTCAAATTAACTAATTGATGAATTTCATAATTGATTAATCGGTTTAAATGTTGCATGCATCGTTCTGTTGATATCTGTCAGATTTACTCTTATTCAAATTCTAGTCTTCGGTTAAAACTAAAAGTGTAAAACATAAAAGACTGTCCAATGGATATACCAAGTCAGCCTTTGATTTTACATGGCAAAATTATGCTGCAAATCCCAATTCTTAGTGGTTTACCATCATATATAATTACATATATTTCAAATAAGATTTACCAGAGTTTGGATGTTCCGATTATAATCGATAAAAGTTCATTAAAAGTTTTCCAATAATTGATCATGATTTCCGCTTCTGATTCTCAACACTGGTATTTCTTCTATAATTGGTTATATTCAAGTGTTTATGAAAGGACACAATTGATGATAGAAACAAATTAATGGAATTAGTTACCAACGTAGAGCTCTGAATTCTCAAAATCGGGTTGCCCTATATTTATCAATTTGTCTGTCTGTTCTTCCATACATTTCTTGTTTCTGCACAGTAACTTGCTTAAATGTTATCCGGTAGAGGGACTTTTTAACTATACACATGTATTTAGTTAAATTATGAAATAATAAACTCATCCTGTTGTATAGATTGAGTGTCATATTTTTAAACAACTGCTTCCTGCATTCAGGAACAAATCCCAGAATCCATCTTAACTTCATACCTCTAGTACTAGTGTTTGCAGTTCTTATCAAGTGCATTTTCTGATTTAATAGGTATGGTGAAAAAATGTGGTTTGTTGAAGATCATCCATGATAAGTATAAGACTGGCCACAAAGGTAATGAGATCATCCGTTCCGACTTCCTATCATCCTTTCAAGATGCAGTGGAACATGATAGGGAAATAGAGCCACTTCTGAATAAGACTCAGGTAATATTTTTAACATATTAGTTGGTAATATTCATGGATGATTTAATTTCGCTTTATTTACAGTAACCAAACATTTTGCGAAATCTAATACCCAGGGAATATTAATACCATGCATTATAATCTCCATGAATATATATTTACAGACACACAAAAACAAACCTATTTACCCGTTTCATGCCGAATAATGAAGATAAAACAAAAACTGGAATCAATATAACATTTCACTTTATTTTCATAAAGCACTTGTTAAATAAATCCCATCACCCAAATACACAAGTACCTCATGAGCGCAATATATTTACCTAGCTATGTTGCACGATAATTAAGCCATGTAAACTATTCTGACCAGGACAACCACGAAATATTAGCCCCGCAAAATTGAACACCTATACAGTAGCACATGTATAAGTTGATGTGAAACAATCACCCAGGGCAGACAATTAATCCATTTTTGTTGCTATGACATTAGTACTTTCAAAATAGAATATACTGATGTACACTCTAACTTAAAGGGCCAATTAAACACTCGGTCTGATAGAACATTTAACCCTTTCACCCCTATGTAACTTTAATAAACTCTACCATGCATTGATCTGGGTAAGTCCATTATGGTCTATAGTTGCGAAAGGGTTAAAGATTCTTCAATAAAATTCACATTGAGTAAAATAAGGAGAATGATTCATGACTCCTAGGCTGTTAGCAATTCTCATAAAATGCTTCAAGAAATTTTGAAAAAACGAAAAGTAGAGCGCTAATTTAACCCTTGTGGAACCAGTTGTTGGTGGATTGTTGACAATTGTGTTCTTTGTGCTGTTGAAGGTTATACTGAACCCAGTCATGGTGCTCAAGCTGTTCCAGAGAATTTCTGATGATGTAAGTACCTTTACTTATTCAATTTTAATGATGGTTTGTTGTGATTGACGTTCAGAAGGATCAAATACTGATTTAATCTGACATCTATTGGGTCAGACTTTTGGTGTTGTTTTTTAAGATTTATATAATTTTTTTCATCCGATTTCTATTCTTCAGAACATGCCTCTGCTGATGATGAACTCGGACATTGCTCGACCTGAGGATCTCATCCTAACAAGAGTTTTAGTGCCACCCATTTGTATTCGGCCATCTGTTCTCTCTGATCTCAAATCTGGAACGTAAGAATAGCTGACGAGTCTGTAATACTGTAATTACATGATAAATGATTTGTTGAGTGCTATTCAAAAAATAGATATATGGGGGTGGAGGTAGTTTGGACAGGGAGGCATGGACCTGCAACCACTAAAATTCATTTTTCGTTGGAGCCCACTATAAAATGGTATCAATTATTTTAAATCTACCATCCATATATTGTTAATCGCAAGGGTCTCCCTGCACCACCATATATTCCAATATGACAAATAGCACTTGATGGACTTGGTAGATGATCAACCCTTTTCCTTAACTCATTCACCCCTGAAATTTTATAATGAACTATTCCAACCCTTGAATTTGGAGAGTTCAAATGCGTCTTCAGGGGTGAATAGTTAATATACAATATTTTGGTAAACAAACCAAAACAAACCAGATTTGGTAACAGTCAACAGCGCTTTCCAATCATGAATTTTGCATTTTGTTGCAATTTGTAAATTTTCGATATCCTTGAATCACAAACCTTTGATGATTTTTTTTTTAATTAATTTTACTCCTCTGCTGGTACTAGTAAAGGGGACTCTTTGTGCATCAGACCATGCATGATTGAACCAGTTTGTCCAGAAACCTTGTCACCTATGATTGAATTTTTATACTGGGAGTTTCTTGGGATGGTGGAGTGGCAATCTGAAATTAGGTTTTGTGCACAGTTATAGCCTTGGATCATTTGTTATATCATAATTTGTCTGTAGATAGAGGACTATGGATTGCTTGTAATAATTTGCCATGCTTTGAAAACAATGTATCTGGAGTTTTGAAATGTTCCACTAGCTTATCGTTTACTTGTTACAGCAATGAAGACGATATCACGATGAAGCTGACCGAGATATTATTCCTGAATGATGTCATTCAGAAACACAAGGCAACAGGAGCTAAGATGTATATGATAATGGTATATTTTTTGTTTTTTTTCCACACCCCATATCAACATTCTAAAGTAGATATTGGGATTTGTAAAACAGTTTGTTCCATTCAAAAACAGAAGGAAAATTAACAATAAAACAGAGGCAGTGTCACCAGATTTTCTTAAACTTTTCAGGAAGTTGTTAAATGCTTGGTATTTTGAGGCAGGAGTTCTGTGAGAAATGTATAATTTAGTGATGATAACATCATAACAGATACTGCACTTACCGTATTTGCCCTAAGGAGCATCCCTTCTGTTTAAGCCCCCTCCCCCTTTTTTGGGAGGAATTGAAATTCTATAAACCTCCATCCCATATCATACACTACCAGACCCAGTCAATGATTTACAGTACTTACGCTTTTAAAACATTTTTAAAACAGAGATTTATGTCTGGTGATCGTGAAGCAGTCACACTGGAATGTTTACTATGTCCTTCTGTTGTACGGTAGCAATGTTTAAAGCTGCACAACTTGATCTATCACAACTTACATTTTATTATCCTAATAAGTGCCCCGATTTAAGCTAATTTCTTAAGCATCTTGGGTTCTAATTATGGCAAATATGGCAGTATAGATACATAAAAAACAATGAAAGATATTGATTTAATATGAAATCCTGTACATGTGTTATTTTACAGGAAGACTGGGACTATCTACAACTACAGGTGGCACTGTTATACAACAGTGAGACATCAGGCATTCCCCTACACATGCAGGTAGGATCTCATTATATCACCTACCTATTGTTCTGTAGGATATCTATTGTTGCCATAATGTATTTACTTACTTAAAAGGTGAATTGCTGACAAAAGTGCATAAATATAAAATATAATCATGAGACAAACATGGACTAAAGAAAACATAACTTCTTTCCAGTCCAAAGAAATTTAATTCCCAAAATAACCAGTGAAAAATCTATAAAACATGCAGATCAGTAAATATTTCATCATACCAATGAATAATGAGGCTTCATTTACAGTGTAAGTAGTTTGAGGTTGTATTGACTCTAAGATTGAATGTAACTCAATGTAACAGGTAATAGTGATGAACAACACATTTTATCAAATAAAGCTACGGTAAAAAGGAACTGTGCAATCGTGATAAATGGTAATCCTCTTCATCAAATTATAAATTTTTATAAATTTTAAAAGATATCCAGCAAACTTTGTGTCTATTAAAATATTAACCAACATAATGTTAACACAACTGTAGAGAGACCCTATGTGTATCAGAATGTTGGAAATTTCCTGTATGTGATATGCTATTACAACAGAGATTACATATCTTCAATTGAATCTTTTTTCAGCCAAAGAAATCTACAAGAGGTTTTGTGCAGAGACTGAAAGGGAAACAAGGACGTTTTCGTGGAAATCTTTCTGGCAAAAGAGTTGATTTCTCTGGCAGAACTGTGATTTCCCCTGACCCAAATATGAGAATTGATCAGGTTTGTTTGTTAAGCTTTCTTTATTTAATATAAAGTGATACTTTTGCTGATTTTTTTTCTTCTAAATCTTGGACCAGTAAGTTTCTATTTCGGGCAAGTGCATTTTAAGATTTTGAAAATATTTGTCTTAACCTGAATCCTTTAATATATATAGTATAAATAGGTGGAACATTTCAATGGAGATAACTTTTGGGAAAAAATTCACATTGAAATTATTAAAATCATTAGTATCATTTCCAGTAAAGTATATCTTTAATTGGATGCAGTTGTAATTGATGATCTATTGCTAAATAGGTGGCGGTACCCATACATGTCGCCAAAGTGTTGACGTACCCAGAGCGTGTCAATAAAGCCAACATCAAGATGTTACGTAAGCTGGTGAAAAACGGGTGTGACGTCCACCCAGGAGCCAACTTTATAGTGCAGAGGAACCACATCAAAAGGTGGGAACGTTCCCCAGCAATGGTCATGGACCATATTGGTTTAATAGCCCCTTCTCATATCTTATTGTCTGATTTAGATTGAAAAGAAACGTTTTTGTTTTGGTGAAAAGGGCTTAACTTAAGGATATTTTGAAAAAACAGTTTTTGATAGAATGGCTCTGACATTTTTTAAAAGGCCCATTAATGTATAATCTGCTCTGAACTGTAATTGTGGTTTGTTTTTTCAGGTTTCTAAAATATGGAAATCGAGAGAAAGTTGCAAAAGAACTAAAGTATGGTGACATTGTAGAACGTCATCTGATAGATGGTGATATTGTGCTGTTTAATCGACAGCCCTCCCTCCACAAGCTCAGCATACAAGCTTTTTACGTAAGTTATCATAAGTGAAAACAAAGTCTGTGCGGTTTGTGATCATCAAATGAAACTGTTGGTCGTGCTTCAATAAATCTTCACCATACTTGTTCATGATAGCCTTGTTTGTTTGGTTTCAGGCAAAAGTTATGCCCCATCGAACATTCCGTTTCAACGAGTGTTGCTGTAACCCCTTCAATGCTGACTTTGACGGTGATGAGATGAACTTGCACCTGCCACAGACAGAGGAAGCTAAGGCAGAGGCCATAACTTTGATGGGGGTGAGAATAACATGTCTGTTTATTATCCATCTGTGTGTTACTCAAACTTTGTTCTACTCCATATAAGATCTTTTCCATCACAACAACTGTGAAAATATCATTTGGAAAGTCATCCGTTCTTATAAAATAAGTCTGCTATTCAACAAAAATCTGTTGAACAATTTCTGACAATCATGTTAAAATGTTCTGAATTCATTGTAATGTATCTGATTTCATCAATCTTACCTAGGAGGAAAGGATATTTATTGCACTCCTAAAGCTGTAAAGACAGCCCTGTATCTAATAGAAAATCCTTATTAGATAACATTTCTATTTTGCATACCTGGTATTTCAGTCCAAATCGAACATCATAACACCGAGAAATGGTGAACCATTGATAGCTGCTATACAGGATTTCATCACAGGTATCTATACATTTGTCAATTTCAACTGAAAATATTAAAATTAATATATTAATATCAAACATATTAACATCAAAATGAAATTCTATCCTTCGGAAAATAATGTTGTTAAAACTTTAAGTTCAACTAAAGTATTATTCATATAGAATTAAAAAATATGAAAACTTTTGTCAGTGTTTTTTTTTTCTTTTTTTTTTTCTTCAGGTGCCTACCTTATTACCCAGAAAGATGTATTCTTTGATCGTGCTCGGACCTGTCAGCTGATCTCAGCCATGTTATCAGGGAATGATAGTCAAATGAAGATAGATTTACCTCCCCCCTGTATCTTAAAGGTCAGTGAAGGTTGCTGATAGGTTTACCTCCCTTGTGTAACATAAAACTGATAGCTTTACCTCCCCACTGTATCATAAAGGTCAGTGAAGGTTGCTGATAGGTTTACCCCCCCTGTGTAACATAAAACTGATAGCTTTACCTCCCCACTGTATCATAAAGGTCAGTGAAGGTTGCTGATAGGTTTACCTCCCCTGTGTAACATAAAATTGATAGCTTTACCTCCCCACTGTATCATAAAGGTCAGTGAAGGTTGCTGATAGGTTTACCTCCCCTGTGTAATATAAAGCTCATAGATTTACTATAAAGGTCAGCAAAATTTACTTATAGATTTACCTTCCCTGTATACTTGTTGAAAGTGAAATATCCTAACTGGAAAATTCCTGAATATGAAATGATGGAAATATTGTGAATTCTGTGTAAATTACATTAAAAAAACATACAGATAAAAATTTATTAGATGGATATTAAACAAAAGGAGTGAAATTGGACATGTTACATGCTAATATTGTCACATGTATTTTAAGTACATGTATAGGTAGTACTGGATTTCTATATGTCGTTGCTATATTGTAACATGTTTCTTATGATCTCTGTGCTTTAAGATTACATGTCACACCTTTGAACCACGGAATACCATTGTAATTAAGTGTTCATTTTCAACATATTTACTACTTTTGACAGCCATGTAATTTGTGGACTGGCAAACAGATCTTCAGTGTACTGTTACGACCAAACAAGGATTATCCGGTGAAGGCTAACCTTCGTACCCGTGGAAAGAACTACTCATCGGGGGAGGATCTCTGTTACAACGACTCTTGTGAGTACCCATATTATCACTGCATGAGGTGAATGGCATTATAAAAACTTTAAAAAATACATAATTTATATATTCTATATTCATCCTGTTTAGTGTATTCACGTATGGACTTACAAAAGCTGTAAAATGAAAAATGATAGTCTCAATTTATATTATCCTATAATAATCAGCTTTGAACAAGCTATTGACTTTTCAAGATAAGCTCAGATTTCGGAAACTTACAAGCAATTAAGTAAAGGAACCTCTGGATGGATGAATTTGCTTTGAGAGACCTAAGGGTAGAAAAATAACATATTTTACGGTAAAAGTAACAGAATTAAAAAAAGACAAACATACAAAATTCAGCACCATATTCAATGATATATAGACATTTTTTCTCAATTTGATAACAAAAATTCCTGGTTGAAAAGGAAAACTATCTATTTAATTCAGTTGTTTTCTTTGTAAAATAAGTATTTATTTATTTCATTTTCTTGCAGCTTTCTAAGTGACAATGTTTTACTTTAAAAGATTTCTTCGTTCATAAATTTTTTTTTCTTCTAAATAACGCAAAAAGGTCCTGGGGCTGTATTTTCCTGCAGTTTTGCTTATTGTGAGGTGAAACAAAGTAGAAGAAACAATTTATGTATACATTGTATATTGATAATATCATTCCAGTTGTGGTCATCCGTAACAGTGAACATCTGTGTGGGGCAATGGACAAAGGAACGCTCGGCTCCGGCTCTAAAAACAACATTTTCTATGTGATCCTGAGAGACTACGGTGAACAGTATGCTGCTGACGCCCTGGTACGCCTGGCCAGACTCTGTCCAGCTTTCCTCAGTAAGTAATAACTGACCACTGGCCACTCAGCAGAAATTAGATATCACTAGCTATTGGTCCTGGTTTCAAAGAGTTTTTAACTTTAGAAAAGTTCCTTATTCTCAAATTAGATTTGATTTAGGTGAAAGTTAAAGTGGAAAATTGAAAGATCAAAGAAATCACTGCTGGACTACAAATCATGAATATATTGTAGAAAAATTTGAGAGAAAGTCTTCCAGGTTAGAAATGTGTTCTGAGTTAAAAATTTCGTTAGATTATAGGGCCTTGTCACTCCGGAACAAAATTTGACCCATGGTCACTCATGAGCATTTAACAAATATTGTATCAACTGGTAGATAAAATTAAGCTGCCACTCAGAATAAAATAACCAACTAGTCTCTTAATATAACAGGGCTTTTTCTGGATGAATTTGGAAAACAGCTCTGATGACCAGCAATCTTAACAAAAGATCACCCTAAAGACTTAAACATTTCTCATTTAAGAAAATTTCATTTTAGATGTTAAATACACTGTCATCTGAATGCAAGGTAAAATTTGTGGATTTTTTTTTATTTCAGTTGAGAAATTTTTAAGAGATTTCTGGAAAAATAAAGCAATATCTTTCCATTTGGTCTCAAATTGGCCTGGAAAAAGCCCAGATAAGAAACAGTAATTGACCTCTGATCAGTCAGTATGTTGAATTTAAATGTCCATTCACTCATTAAATTTCCAAAGAACCTGAAATAGGCAAGAAAATTAATTGCAATATATTATCAACAGGTAACCGAGGGTTTTCCATTGGTATTGGTGATGTAACACCAGGAGCTGGACTGGTCAAGGCAAAGAACCTACTTCTGGAAGATGGGTCAGTAACCATTACAACTGTAACCGCCTTCACACTTTATATGTTACAAGTAGCTTAATGGTAAAAACTGAGATTTGAATACAGGAAGTTTTCATGACATAATTCAATGAATTACATACTGATGTGGTAAAAGGTACTGACCAATAGCGCCGAGCTGTAAATACATTTTCAGCCCCATGAAAGTGCTAATACTGTAAACAATGAAATTTCGCTGCAGTTTGATTTTCGCCTTCTTTGCCCTCCGTCATGAGGATGAATTCATCTTGACAGTGAACATGAGTTAACAGCATGATATACAAAGTAATTAAATTTGAAGGGCAGAATTAGAACTGGGTGAACTTGGATTTTATGGGCGAAGGGCGAAAGTTTGACCGCGCAAAAAATTCCCAATATACAGTAATATACAATATTGCCCTAAACTTATACAATCAGTGTTAACAACAAATAGTCAAAGTTTGTGTACAGATATAAAAAGTATGATTAGGTTTAGGTTTTTTAAGAGCAGAGTTTTTAACTATGTTCATGACTGTGTTTTGTGTTTCACACAGATATTCAAAGTGTGACGGTTACATTCGTGACTTGCATGAAGGAAGGCTACAGACACAGCCTGGCTGCACTGAGGAGGAAACGCTGGAGGTAATAGGACAGTGTTGGAGTATGAGAAGGAGGTGGTAAAAGTCAACATCTAGAGTTTTTTTCTGCATTATTGCAATACTGATTAACTAATGAATTATAGTTCATTTAGCACAAGAGCAGGATATGTTTAACTTTTCTGAAATGATTTGCACTTTGTAAACTTCATCAAAAACAAGATCTATCTGAAAGACGTAGCTGTACCAGAGTACAAGGTAACTTAACGAAATGGCATTTAATATGAAGATATGCTAAACAGTCAACTGATACCTTTGTGCTAACTAGCTAGGTATGATACACTAGTACTTATCTGATAGTTCATCTTTCGTAAAGTTTGTTTTTAGATCATGATTCACATTGTTCCACTCTAGCTGCTGAGTGGACAAGTTGACGTTGACCTATAGCCCTCAGTCTCAGTCAGCTGAGCACATGAGCTAATTAAAGACTTTTTATTCATCATGGTTATGTGGTGTTTCAGGCTTGTATCCTAAAAGAGCTCTCTGTGATCCGAGACCACGCTGGGAAAGCTTGTCTACGGGAACTACACAAAAGCAACAGCCCCCTTACCATGGCCATCTGTGGCTCCAAGGGTAAGGACAGGAATGTTTGGGGGTTGATGAGACTTTAGTAATGCAATGTTTAATTCTCTTGGCTTGATGATATTTCAGACTGAAGAGTTGTTGACCTGATATTTTAGTAAGATAACACTTGGTAGAGGGGAGTTCACTCGACTTCTCTTCACCTCCAATCCGAAATAAATAACACAACACGCAAATACTCATTTGCCGGACTAGCCTGTCGTGCTTAGTGCAGTCGGCGTTTAATTGATTTCTGGTTGTTTCATATGTATATGAATGAGCCTGTGCAAAGGCTCCTCACCCCACTCTCGCGGGCGTGATACAAACGCCCCTAACTCGCGCACTCCGCGCACCCATTGGCGTACACAAACGCCTCATACTAAACCCCTATCCTCGAATGTACCGCGCGCTCAGGAACAACCGGAGATATCCCCGGAAACCTGCATCCCACAGCCAGTGCAATACATTCTCAAGGGCAACAGAGGGACTGCTGTCAAAAAAACAAGAATATGGCTACCTCACCGGATGCTCTCCCGGTCCTTACAAAAAACCCGCACACTCCCTATAAACGTACACATGTTACCACAAACAAAAACAAAAAATACTATTATCCGCGCATAGCCTCCCTGCCCTTATTAAAGCTTAACGCTCCGCGTTCCGTACTCTGTAATACATGCTATAAAAACGGCAAATATTATATAGGCCGAAATTGAATTTTTAGCCGTGACCGCACTATACGATAGACAGCTAGAGAATGACCACTACAGCGTATACACGCTACACACAGTGTTCCCACGTGGCAAACCGCCTGCACGATATCTCCGTGCCCGAGAAGACAAATAATTCTCTCTATACTGTCGAACCGCGAGAATATTTAATTATCAAATGTAGACACCTTATTGATTTTATTTAAATACTTACCATACGTAAAGAAAATACATAATACAATCAGCTCCTAAGTAAAGGTTGACAAGAAATTTTAGTAAGATAACACTCGGTTGAGGGGAGTTCATTCTTATCAAATGTAGACAACTTATTGATTTTATTAAAATATTTACCATATGTAAATACCATACACAACATATTTCTAGGGGCTTTGAATATTTGCCTTTTCTGTCGGACCGTCTTTATGACATCTTGATTAGACTTTGCAATTAGTTTCATTACTCTAACACTAGAAGTCCGACAGTAATCAAACTTAAGATGTGAAAAACTTTTATTGTATTTTCAATCTGTTTTAAGGTTCGTTCATCAACATCTCCCAGATGATATCCTGTGTAGGACAGCAGGCCATAAGTGGGAAGAGGACACCCAATGGCTTTGAGGATCGCGCTCTGCCTCACTTTGAAAAGCATGGTAAGTTGGATCCTTGTTTGTCGCTCATTGTTCTCAAATGAGAATATCCTTTGACTACATCTCCCTTTTGAGACATACAATCATGCTATTCTACAGTAACAATTGACAAGATTGCCTGTAGAAACTGTTAAGAATAGTAAATTATAGAATTTGTCAGTCTGTTAAAAAACATGTCCTAAATACCTGTTACATATGTTAATTTTATTTGATCTTTAAATGTTTGAACCAGAAAAAGATAATTTCAAATGAGTGCAGAAGTTACTATTAATTTTAATGGAAACATTAAATCTGATTAAGGTTTGAAACTCAATCTGATTTGTTTTCAGCCAAGGACCCAGCAGCACGTGGTTTCGTTGAGAACAGTTTCTACACCGGCCTGACACCCACAGAGTTTTTCTTCCACACGATGGCAGGTCGAGAGGGTCTGGTGGACACTGCTGTCAAGACAGCCGAGACTGGCTACATGCAGCGGCGACTGGTGAAGGTAAGTCCACAACTCTTCGTCATCTATTTAGGCGTGTAGAGTATTTGTCATTGTTTTGAACCTGGTGCAATAGTTAGGTATGGGTTGACTCCTTTTTTGGCTAGGACAACTTGTTTTAGACCTCATTAAACTAGGATGTTAATAATAACTTCATTTCTATTTCACTTGTCTTGTACAACATTTACTGGGAGATGTACAAGACAAATAGTTTGTTGACAGGATGTTTTGGTTGTATTACAAAATTAAAAAGTAAAACAAAATCTGATTCAAATTAAATATGACTTCTTGACACAACTTAGCAAGTTTACAAAGATAATCCATGAGAAATATGACTTGTGGACAAATAGATAACAAAAAAATAAATTAAAATTCTACTTGAATATGAGTGTTAGGAGTTTTCCTAAAATAGCTTGGTAAGAAAAGTACAATGAGGAATTACTTGTGAATTGATGTTGACCATTTCTTTTTACCAATGACCACATGACAAACGGAATGGATGTTAAGAAAAAAGGTTTGTTTGTCAAAAAGTAGAACTTGAACTTCAATACTAAAAAACCGAGTGTATTATATCTAAATTGGACAACAAAGAGCCTTTTTGATATGCATGAACATTTTCGGAACCAAATTCACTAACCAGTTTAGATTGGACAGCAATAGACAATTTACTTTACAGTGAACCATCTTTTGTTTTGGCTGCAATGACAAAGGTAAATGTACTTGTTGATGTTTTATTTCTTGCTTTCCAGTCACTTGAAGACCTGTGTTCCCACTACGATCTGACAGTCAGGAGTTCTACAGGAGACATTGTCCAGTTCCTGTACGGTGGGGACAGCCTCGACCCAGCATGTATGGAGGGCAAGGACACACCCATAGACTTCAAACGTGTGTTTGACCATATCAGGGTCAGTTCATATCTTCTCCTTTTTTCTGAATTTGTCAGGGATACTTAAGTTCATAGCAGGTAAATTCTATGACGCCAAATATTAATATATGAGTTATAGATATACATCTGAAGGACTAATTAATATATTGCAGTATATATTTGAAACAACAACCTTAACTACTTGATAAAGACTTTGGTTACATCAAGTACCCTGTTATGAATAGTTCAGAAATTGTTTACCCCAGTTTTAAAACATGCAACACTATAAAATGAAGTTCCATATCATGTAATATGTTGTATGTGATCATCTTCAGGCAAATACTCGAGTGAGTTGTCATGGAGAGAAATCCCTCGGTGGTCAGAAGCTGGTTCAGCTGGTAAAGCAGAAATTATCTACCAATGTGTACCAGACCTGTAGTACAGAATTCAAGAATGACCTCATGTAGGTGACTGATATACAGTAGTGACTCCTGTAGTGAGTCTTCACTCCTTAGTGTCAGGTGTTACCCTCATTTTAAAAGATTTATATGTCACATTATGTCAAATTGAAAGATTTGTAATCACTCTTGATCCTTTTAATTTATCTGAAACAGTTTCATATTTCGATGAAATATGATCTACCAGATTACAGATTAAAGTATTTTTTTTTAATTTGGTAGTTAAATCCTCAGTTCAATAAAATAAATAACACAATGTCATGAAAAAGTACATGTATTCATATAAGCACTCATCATACATGTCATTAAATACGAAATTCTAGACACCATATCCTGGCCTTTCACTCACCAACATCAACTTCAATTAGATAGAAATATCAATAAAAAAATAAAAAATCACCGTATTTGTTCACCCTGGTGACATTTTCAATCTTTTTTTTTTTTTTGCAATCTCTGGATGTCTACCCACCAAATTACCAAAATTAAACAAACACGTACGGTATATAACCCTGCTATTTATTGTATGTCTTAAGTTCAACCGTCAACTGCTACACTTGTTGGCCACCATCAAACATAGGCTCTAAAACAGTATTGTACATCTACTGGAGGGGATTGATCTAGGCTTTTAGTCTGTTACTAAATCTGTGAAGCAATAAGATTTGTTGAAATTAAAATGATATTGTTTAATTTACAGAGACTTCATACAGAAGGTGGGTGATGGCATTGATAAAACCAGACAAAGATTTGGTGTTCTTGATGGAAAGGAGCAGAGACTTCCAACAGGTAATGGAATTAGTTCAAAACTTTGATTTAATAGTTGATGTTTATTTGCACTGAAGTATAGTAAGGTACATGAATAAACACACAAGTGTCCAAATGAATGTTTTCGTTTGAGTAAGTGATGTGAAAAATTCATACCCCTGTAGTGGAACTGGAATGGGTCGATCGCCAGCGATCAGATAGCTTGATTGGTTAGAGCGAGCGATCCGATAGCTTGATTGGTTGGAGCGTCCGTCTAAGAGTTCGGAGGGTCCCGGGTTTGAATCCCGTTTTGGCCGTGCATTTTTCTATAGCCTGTTATAGTGTAGCCTGTGACCAACCATTGTTTCAAGCACTGGATGAATGCTTGTCGAGAGTATACTTGAACCTGGGTTGTAATTAGTTTTTTCTTCAGGGGCAAAAACTTAGAAAAAGGAGGGAGGAATATAGCGGAACTGGACTGGGTGGATCACTGGCGACCAGCTGGTAGCTCAAGTAGTTGGAGCGTCCGTCTAGAGATTGGAGGGTTCCGGTTTCGAATCCTGGTCTGGCTGTGCATTTTTCCATCTCCTGTTACACCCCGAATAATTACACTTTTTGTACCAAAGACATTGTTCATTGTTCTGACATGTTATCCATGCTAGTACACCGTAAGCAGTAATCATTTACACTTTTTGATGGTTGTTCACACACAAGACATCCAGATCTTAGGTTCAATTACAGGGTCTATTCTGGTACTTAGCTCACAATTAATGAGCTCCACATGTACAGTGGTCAGCGGATGATAAAACCAGGAATTCAGCTTGTATTGATGCTTTATTCCTGCTTATGCACTGTATCATATGGAACTTTCCTTGTCTATTGATAATCATGCTTTGGGTGGATTAAATTAACCTACAAATACTAGAATTGGTTTGTATGCATAAAACTAAAGAATTAAAATGCTCTTGAACATTTCTTGTTACTCTCGCTGAAGAAAGAAGAGCTTCTTACTTTATACACAAACAATGTTTGTATTAACCGTGTCACAACGTTTCAAGACCGACTGGTCCATTTGTCAAGCTATGCCTGGCATTGCAACACGTTTGATATGTACATTATTTGTGTATAAAGTAAAACTTTGATATCACTTAATTAATTCCAAACTGATGAATCTTGTGGAAGAAGAGATTCTGATTTTGATATGTCTATGATTTTTCCACAACAGTGCTGTTTGAGATGGACAGGGTAACTGAGAATCAGATTGACGTCTACCTGAACTGCTGCAAGCACAAATTCATGAGGGCCCAGATAGAGCCAGGTAAGGTGAAGGTCGTATGGTCCTGAGTACTTGTCTGTAATGACAGTGACTGGATTTGTAGACCATTTAAAAATTCCCATTATGTCATACTCAAAACATTGTATAGAAATTTCCCTGCTGTGTATATATATGTCTGAACAATAACCGAATTTACTTGACCTATATATACTGCCAACATCAGTTGTCAACATTAATTACCGTAATTCAATTGTTTTTAGCTCACCTGGTCCGAAGGACCAAAGTGAGCTTATGCCATACCGTGGCGTCCGTCGCCCGTCCGTCCGTTAACAATTTCTTTAAACGACTTCTTCTTAACCACTGATTGGAAATTAACTAAATTTGACTGGAAGCATCCCAAGGTGGTGGAGATTCAAAATTGTACAAATGGTGGGGCTGACCCCCCAGGGGGCTGAGGGGCGGGGCAAAAAGGGGGCAATTTGGCTTAACTGCTTTAAGCGACTTCTTCTCTGGAACTAAGTGATGGATATCAACCATATTAGACTAGAAGCATCCCTAGGTGGTGAGGATTCAAAATTGTACAAATGTCGGGGCTGACCCCCAGAGGGCTGAGGGCGGAGCCAAAAGGGGGCAATTTGGCTAGATTGCTATAAACGACTTCTTCTGTAGAACTATGCACTGGATATCGATCATATTTGGTTGGAAGCATTAATGGGAGGCAGGGATTCAAAATTGTACAAATGGTGGGGCTGACCCCCCAGGCTAAGGGGTGGGGCCAAAAAAAGTTTATTGCCTGGAAATGGTTGAGATCCCCACCATATAACCACAGATACAATTGCTGAGTATAAAGAGAAGAATGCACATTTGCTTCCAGGATGGCCCTAGGGTCTGGCCCAACCCTTGGAAACATAGTCCTTGGGCCATAACTTAAACACAGTTGAGATCCCCACCCCAAAACTATATATACAAATGCTGGGCATAAAAAGACAAATGCAGTCATGATATTAGAATTGATCCTGGGGTCTGGCCACAACCGTAGGGACCTAGTTTCTGAGTCACAGATTGGAAACAGTTGAGATCCCCACCCCATAACCATACATAAAATTGCTGGGCATGAAAAATTGAATACAGATATATATGCTACAAGGATTGGCCTTGGGGTCTGGCATATTCCCATGGATCTCATTTGGAGAATATTCTGCCATGATTGCTTAGATATCCAGGTGAGCGATACTGGCCCTATGGGCCTCTTGTTTGTTTGATATTATACTCTCGCTGATTAAATATTGTTTTATAATCAGAAACTTATTTGAAAAAGGATATATATGTCTGTTGTAATGTCTTGACAGATCTTACAATCTTTGCAGATAAATTGATTGAAGAACAAAGTCTTTTCATGCATCAGTCAAGAAAAAGAAATTAAAATGCTATCAGAGCAATTCGGAATGTCTTTGTTATAGTGAATAGTGTTATCATAGGATGGAGCTATAGATTTCCAATAAAAACTACAGTATTGATCATTTCTACCTGTAGCTCTTAGTAGAAATAGTGCATGTATGCAGTGAACAGACTAGGTCCTGGTGAGGGAGAGATACCTCTGCAGATCCCTGCTTACTCTGATTCCTCTTTTCTACAGGAACAGCAGTTGGAGCAGTGTGTGCACAGAGTATTGGAGAGCCAGGCACACAGATGACTCTGAAGACATTTCACTTCGCTGGTGTTGCTTCCATGAGTATCCTTAACATATATTGAGCAAAAGCTGCCTTGTTGTAGAGGATTTGTACTTCCTTCCCAGATTTTGAGCATAGATATGTGGCACGAAATTAAGCACCGTTTACTTGCCCTATATCCTGCATAGTAGATAACTATAAACAAAATAATTGGCTGTTGTCCACATTTATGATTTTACCATAATTTCAACATTCTTTTCTTCAGTGATATAAAAAGAAATGCCAAATACAACTTGTAAATCATTCATCTTTTTAAAAGTAAGATTCAATCACAACAAGCTCGGGATATGTATACCTATCCCAAGCTTATTGTGATTGAATGTTACTTTTAGTTTTCTCCTATTCCTCAATCGCCCTGCACACTTGGTATCCAAGCAAGGGATAATGGAACCTACAGAACCTATACTAGAAGTACGGCGTTGGCTCTACACCTCGATGGATATTCATCTTTTTATGGGTTTTTTCCATAGTAAATAGAACAATGCGAATGTAAGGAAAAAATAAACTGAAACTTTGTGTTATTAACAGTAAGTTTGTGTGTGACCTTGACCTTTGATCAGATATCACACAGGGTGTGCCAAGAATTAAGGAAATCATCAATGCCTCCAAAATCATCAGTACGCCCATCATCACTGCCCAGTTGGAGGTGGATAATGATGCGGAATTTGCACGTGTCGTCAAGGGGCGCATTGAGAAAACAACGCTAGGAGAGGTTTGTGGGTCATTGCTTTCAGTCTGTAATAGTGAAGCAGCAATCTCTCTCTCCCTCTCTCTCTCTCCCTCTCTCCTTCGTTATTTTCGTTATCAATTTGTGTAAAATCTATTGATGTTGCCATGTACACTGTATAAAATATATCTGGGAGAAGGCTTCATAAGTTGGAATAACTTGTGCCTAATCCATTTGCAAATTTCTGCAATAAAATATGTTTAAATCAATCAGACGTATGCTTCGAAGTCTTATAGGAAAGGACTACTTTTTGATGTATTGAGACCATAGTATTCTGTCTGTAATAGTTTAGCAAGGATGTTCATACTTTGTTAATAAGCAAAGGCACTGGTTACAACGAATAGCACATTTTGACAGATGAATGGTCAGGACCTAAATCTGCCAAGATAATTCAAATGCCAAAATATCACATCAACCTAAATAATATCCCATTCTGTAGCACTTCTTCACCAGAAGTGATATATCATTTGGTCGATTAGTTATATAATTTCAAGAAAATGTATGTGTTTCCTCCACAGGGCATTCTTTAGTATTGAAACTATTCAGTCTAGGGCAACAGAGCAATCGTCTGAAAAATGTAGACGTATGGTACTCAGGCTTTGTTTTTGGTAACAGAGTAACCTTCTGAAATGTTGTCAGAGAATGTTTTGTCAGAATTTGACTCGGTCTTTATCTGCCTTCAACAGGTATCGGAATATATGGAGGAAGTATTCTTGCCAGACGACTGTTTCATACTAATCAAACTTGATTTAGAAAGGATACGCCTGCTCAAGGTAAGTTACCAGTAGCCTATGGATTTACTTTTTCTCTAGGTAACATAATCACATTAAAAATGGTTCTCTCGTAACACAATCCCATTTATGCTTCTCTCCCAGTCACAAAATCCTATTGTTTCTTTCCTGTGGCCTGTTTGTTTATGACGACCAACCAGTTTGTCCATTTTTGAAATGTAATATTTCAGAGGTAAAACCTGACAAACAAAGCGAGATTTACCAAGACGGGTTTTCCTGGGTATTCCGGCTTCCTCCCACAATAAGACCCCCTGCTTGCTAGCATCCAGGCCAACAAGAGTAAATTATGGAACTTGTTTCATAATTGTTGTAAAATAAATAACATTTATAAAAAGGGCCTTGGTAACCAAATTCTATTGATGTTGCGATTGCTTTTAATGGCTTGTGTAGAAGAAACATATAATAGTCTAGGCGGAGATAGATACCTGTGTGTTTTCGTCAGATTTGTTTTATTTGATGTTGCCGTGTGATTTATAAATATTTGATTTAGTCGATTGATCATAGAGATAAACATTTTATCAGGTTTTTTTCTTCAAATTTGATTTAATGTTTAATCCTTTCTTAATCATCAGCTGGAAGTGCATGCAGACAGTATCAAGTTTGCCATATGTAGCTCTAAGCTCAAAGTAAAACCACAGGTGAGTACATATGGGCATCATAGAAATATGATTCTGAACAATCTAGTAAATTACGGGGCTGAATTTTATTAATCAATGAATTATGGCCACCATTCATAATCTTCTGATTGCCTGAGACATTTACAGCAATAAATTGTGATTGGTACAACTTCGTTTTTAATGGTAAAGGTACTTCATGGATAGTTGTACGTGGTGAATAAGGATATAATATCCAGATCCTGTAATCAAAGAGACCTTTCCAGTTACTACTTGTTCAGTTGGTCTGATTTTGTTCATACTTGGTGGTAAATAGTACAATGTCTGGTAGCATGCTTTTGTAATGCCTTATTACCCTTATTACGAGAGTCAGAGATTATCGCTGTGGCTTCTGCTTGGTGCTTTTATATGGGGGATTAAGTGCAATCAAGCACACAACACACTTATTGACCTGTTAGCTTTCTTGTTCTTGTTGATTATATTAGGCAAAACATTGCACTGTTGACAAGCCTTTATCCAAATATTTGGCAGCATTTGACCTTTATGACATTTAATCTCATTTCAGCACATCCAGATTCACAGCGAGGCTGTAATCACAGTACAGCCAAATGAGACCTCCAAGAGCTCCATGTACTATGTCCTCCAGACACTGAAAAAGGAGCTGCCAGGGGTCATGATCAAGGTAGTTTCACCAATATGTTGTAGTTATTGATTTGCTCGTTAATCATTGCCTAATAAAATGATGAAAAGTCATGATATGGCAACATTTATTTGCTGCATGAGTTTATCGTGGATAAAATCGGTAGTTTGTGTGGTGTTTCTTATGATATCTATGAATAAATATTCAGTTGGAGATTATGAGGTTTTTATTACCCTCACAGTTAGGTAAATAAAACTATTTTCAATAAACAAAAATAAGCTTATAGTAATTTCAGTAGATAAATTCATCATATATCTTGTTGTTTCTGTCATGTACAAAGTCTGTTTAAACCATATAAGTGTTTTTTTAAGTCCCTCCCAGTGAAGAAAGGCGTGACACAGCAGTGCATCTGTTAACATAAAGGTTGAATCCCTATAAAGGTTTTCAAGGTCACATCTTCTATGAAACTTCAAAGTTATGTGCATCATGATTGGACACATGATTGACAGTGTTGTGGAACACTCTTATGACCATACACAAAAGGGCAAGAAGATATACTCTTTTTCCAACGGATGTTGTCGTTTTGTTTTACTAGGGTATCCCATCAGTGACTAGAGCTGTGATACACATAGACGAGGGGTCGACAGAGCAGTACAAATTACTGGTAGAGGGGGACAATCTCCGGGCTGTCATCGCCACCCCAGGTGTAAAGGGTTCCCATGTGTCCTCCAACAATACACTGGAGGTGGAGAAAACGCTGGGCATCGAGGCTGCTCGAACCACCATCATGAATGAAATCAACTACACAATGTCAAGTCACGGCATGAGTATCGACATCCGGCATGTCATGCTCCTAGCTGACCTCATGACCTTTAAGGTAGGTAACTGGAGTCATATGACTGTCAGGTATATGGAGCTTGTAGCTGTGACATTCAGGTTGAATAGGTTGTAGAGATGATGTTCAGATTATGTAGCTTACAATTACAACTTTCAAAATATGAAGCTTTAAATTACGACTTTCAAGATAATTAGCATGAACATATTGCCTGTAAGATATATATTTTTTAAGGATACCTGCCATATAAATATCTGGTATATTTCTTCATTTTAGAGTTCACATTATTAGATTATAACATCAGAAAGTGTTTGATATTAAGACATTGGAAAATATATATCCATTCACTTTTCTGATTCATTTCTGTCTCTGATTTGTTGATTTTCTTATTGCATAAATATCTTGGAAAATCCTTCACTTTTTCTGTGTGATGTTTCCTATCCAAACAAGGATGAAACTAAAAGGTGCAATTTTTTTTTCTTTTACAGGGTGAGGTTTTAGGGATTACCAGATTTGGATTGGCGAAGATGAAGGAGAGCGTCCTCATGCTGGCTTCAGTAAGTTTCTGTTTTTATGTGAGCAGTCGTATGAGTAAAAAGTGGCTAGTACATTTTACTTACTTTGATTTGATACTTTCTGGCATAGGTTGTCACGCATGTTTTTTTTCTCAAAAAAAATCTTTGATTTATTTACTAGAAGTTGTAACTGTGAAGCAATACTAATTGCCCCGGTAATTGACATTTCAGAATGACTTCCTTCAATTCTTATTTCCAATTAGATACAATTTATTTTCCTAAAAGACAAACCCTATATTTTCCAAAAAAAATCTCATTTCAAGTCCCTTAAGTTACTGAAATTGAGAAAAGAAATTCCTGAAAGATCTAAAAATGTCAGAATAATATCTTACACATCCTCTGATCATGTCGATGCGATCTGTTTCCAGTTTGAGAAAACAGCAGACCATTTGTTTGAAGCTGCCTACCATGGGCAAAAAGACACAATCAATGGTGAGTTGTCTCCCTTCCATTAAAATATATGCGCTACAGACCAGGGTGGTCTTCACATCTGATATGTCTCCTTTTAAATGTAATGTTTTTCAAGGTTATTCCTGGTTGTGCACTTTTATTTGTTATTTAGCCTTTGTTTTAATTGTTTTGTAATTAACGTCTTTAATAGCTGAAAATAATATTAAGAGTACTCGGTCTATCTTTGTCAGAAACGAAGATCATTCAGTTGGAAATACAACAAATAAAAGCAGTCGAGGGTAGAAATGTACTGATTCAATTTTGTAGAATTGTTGAATTCTCCTGAGAAAAGAAAAATGGTTCAAAAATGAATTGCATTTAAATTTTGATCCTACAGCTGCAGCATACAGTGTAGTTTACATCTCCATTTTAAATAACCTAGTGTTAGAATCAAACAAGTATATCATTATCTAGGTGCTGTGAGAATCTTGCAGAATTCTGATGTAAAAGGAATATATCCGATGAGTCTGTTATACAAGCAGGATTTCACTGAATACATAGACAAGTAGGAAACGATGACTCATTTCAGGTTGTGGGAGAAATTCAAAGCTGCAGGCAGTGATGTTTAAAAATAATGATGAATAGTTTGCATTATGCAAAAAAATGGTGCTTGTTTTTTTTTATTTCATATGAGTTTCTTTGATGTGATCTTTGCAGGTGTGAGTGAATGCATCATCATGGGAATCCCAATGGGTATCGGCACAGGACTGTTCAAGCTACTACACAAATATCCTTTACTTCTATTGAACAATAATACAAGGACTTACCCAGTAAGTATAAGGGTTACACTGTTTAATTTTTTTATAATCCCTTTCAACGAATTTGGAGGGAGTCAAAACTGATTCTTTAAGAAGGGCATCAGGTTACATTTATTTCACATTTTTCAGGCCACAAAAGTATAACGGAAATAGGCTACTTCTGTATGTAAATGACATACAATATTAACATGTTTTGTTTAATTAGTTCAGCTTGTATGATAAAAGGTATTGTAAATAATCATTTAAAAAGAAGAAAAAATCCATAAACATCAAAAGATTGTGCCTTAACCCCACCTACAGCAGAGAAGGACTCCAAACCTCGGCGACGCCCACTTGTCTTTGACAGAACAGAGTTTCATCTTCCAATGGTATCGTGATAATGTTATGAGAGAAAACTGCTTTTCAATATCTTTGCCGAAGTGCTTTGTTAATGTTGATGTCAGTTATGTCATGATGTGAGTGTGGGTTGTATGGAGAGTATTTATATTGTTTCATAGTTCCATTTTGGCGAGAGTCAGTGTGTATGCTATATCAGACTTCCTTTCTGTTGAGAATCAGATGTGTGTGTCCTTGTCAGAGGTTGTTGTGATCAGTATCAAGTGTGAATGTTCTATCACTTCTACTGTGATGATTGGGGGAGTGTGTATGCAGTATGAACATCAAGTATCAATTCTATATCCTGGTTCGGTCATAATGAGAATTGAGTATGCTGAAACAGACTTCTGTTCTATTACTCTTTCACAAGTGAGGTTTCAGCAGAGCAGTACAAATTACAGGTAGAGGGGGACAATCTCCGGGCTGTCATCGCCACCCCAGGTGTAAAGGGTTCCCATGTGTCCTCCAACAATACACTGGAGGTGGAGAAAACGCTGGGCATCGAGGCTGTCTCGTGAAAATTGATTGTTTCTGTTCTTTCACAGTTCAAGTATTGAATTTGTATACAATATTACAGTATTACAATTATTTTTATAAAATATCTGTGAAGGCTGTATCACATTTCTGTTGTGGCAACCATAAGATATTTCTGCTGTCACAGTTCTGTTTTGGCGAGAGTTGAGTCGGGGAATGCTGTATGCGAGGAATTTTGTTATGTTATCATTATGACAGTGACTCATTGGAAATAAAACTAAATACATTTATTTTGTCTCCTTGTTGTTTAGAAGTCATGGTTTTAAATTTCCATCTGTTAAGATAGACTTGTTGCGAGCTGTGTTTGACATCACAGTGTCTCTGTAACTTGAACATTATTTACTTCACAACAATCATGAAGTGAGTTCTGTTAGCTTATATTGTTAATCACTCTTGTTGTCCTGAATGACAGCGCACAGTTCTTAAAGCGATAGGAAACCAGATGACCCAGAGAAAACGCATGTGGTCGGGCAGGAAACCCCATACCTTTTTCATTTTTTATGGAAATCAGAGCTCCGCCATCTTAGTAACAGGCAAGTGGACTATCCACAGGGCCACCCAACCGCATTTCTGTATTATGGGTTAGTTCTTTAGAATTCTAAAGCAGAGGAAGGGTGTATTTTGAAGGTTACTGTTATATACTTTATAACATAATTTGATAAATAAACAAGGGCACTTAAACAATGTGCTAATACAAATCAAAATGCTATGACCTTATTGTCCTATGAGGAAAATTAGATTGTAAGTATTTTAATGGTCGAGACTTTTGTACAATTTCGTCTGAAATGGGTTTTATTTCAACACAGGTATCAATTCTGCAAACTACAGACTGAGATGATTCTCAAATTCGTTTGTATCTGTAAGTTGGAAGTCACAAATTCTCTGTATTTACATTTGTAAGTAGGTAGATACTGTAAGCATACATATTTTAGCAGCTTTATCAATTTTAGTGTTATTTTGCACTTAAGCTATTGTGCTGAATTTTATAGCTCTAACTGAAGTTTCCGTACATTGTCTTCCGTTGAATTTATTGTTGATAAGCTGATTCACTGGTTATTGAAATGTGTTATAGTTCCTAAAAAAGCAATACCGGTATATTAATTTATAGTATTCAGATACTCCACAGGTCACACAAGTTATCTACCTGTAATCCTATTTACCTGGAGTGATTATAATTAGCGCTCTGTAAGTCTTTTATCTGTCATCGCCACTTTTACAATGACCGACTAAGCAATAACCCTTCATTAGATTGTTTTAAATATTTATTAGCATTAAAAACTGGAACAAAACGATCAAGTTATATAAACCATTTGATGGTTAACATAATATATTAAAAACATTGCAGAACATGAAAGGATGCGGAAGAGAAAAAGCTCTATATCTGTACATACCATTGCAAGAGGATCATTGTCCACTGGTGTGTGTGCAAACTCCAAGACAAGACGTGATTAATGGTACCTACACCTGGTGGTGTTAGGTACCCCCAGCTGCCTACCATGTAGGGTAGGCTGCTACATATGTACATGGTTGTGTCCACACATTTAGGTGATGTAGACACACCGCCTATCGTCTGTCACTAAAGTGGTCAGTGGACAGTATTTTTCATTATTGACTTGATTTCATTTAACATGCACTTGTTTATTTAATTTATAAAAAACATTTATTTATAAATTAAATAAGTCTTTTTATAAAGCCTCTAAACATCTAGTGATACATAACTTAACATTTTGTTGTGCGAATACATTCATCGATTAAAATATATTATATATATAGGCAATGCAACAAGGACATTTCATTGGTTCAATAAAAAATATACTCGTAGACATCTATCGAAGCTTACGGACGTGATTTAACAATGTACTAACGTCGTGTCAAATTGGCTTAAAGGTAATTTGTAGTATAAAAAAAATCTATTTATAAAATTAACGGGAAAATATGACACGATAACAATTTACGAAGCACGCTTCAATTAAAATAGGGACGGATATATTCATATTCACTATAAACAATGTACATGTATGTATATGCTTTTTCAATAAGTTTGCAAGCATGTGTTAAAAAATGTGTACGACGCTATAATGGTGATGACATCAGCAATCTGACATCCTCGTTGTTAGCGCTATGTTTTACATGGATATCAGAATAGCAATACCACGCAAATAATCGTTAGAAAAGTATGTAAGGAACAACTTTTAAAAAGTTTAGCCAAATCGATTCAGAAAGCAAAACAAAGTTAACAGTTACTACACAAGTTACCATTAGGAAGGATTAGTGGTACTTCAGGCTCTATTCTAATGCAAGTTTACTGCTCATCTGGTGCATTATTAGGTATCTTTCCGTTTTCATTTTTGTCCTAACGGGATTAGAGTCTTCATTTCATACTTTTGATAAAGTAATAAAAGCTATTTACCAAAAAGTCGATATCTAAGTCGAGGAAAAAGTATAACATATATTTTCTTACATTAATAGCTAGTCACACAAAAAATCTGTTATCATTAATTGGTTATCATTTTGCATTAATGTTGAAATCATGCAGTTTCTCGACAGCATTTTGCAAACAATTCTGAGAATATATTGCATGTCTCTATAAATCAAACTGATGGTGAACCTTTACTCAAATGCACATTGAGCAAGAGCAAGATTGTGAAAAAAGTACAATATCTAACTTTACATCTCCCGAAAATGTGTTGCCCCATGCTTAGTAATGTTACAGCCAAGGAGCTGGTGAAGTGGATGTCATATCAACCATCGAATGTCTCACTTGAAGCCTCTTACTAGCCGTGTTTTGAATCGGTCGTATGTATTAAACATTACATCTATGCATCCAGAATCCAAAGTTTGTAGGAAACTAAAAACTAAAAAAACTAATGTTATTTGAAATGGCATGTATCATAGACAAGATTCTCGTTTTATTTAACCCTTTCATCCCTAGGTTTCTTCAGTTGACTCGACCATACATTTATCTGAGTCCATAATGGTCTAGAGTGGTGAAAGGGTTAAAATATTAACAGTTTAGTAGTTCTTATCTAATCTTTTTAGTATACAATGACAACAATTGGTTAGATTTATGTACTCTTTGTAAGAAAGCAATATTTTTATATTTTCGGAATTAATGTTTTTGCAGTGGTTTAAAACCCCACTTTGTTCAGCTAAAAAGATGAAACTAAAAGAAATAATGTAATCTGGTTAGAAATCATTAGGTCAGCCACATGTTAGCTAGCAGTATCAGAACTCCCGTCAGCACTGAACAATCCATCCTAGATCCCTGAAATATAAAGAACCGGCTTATTGAAAGTCAAAATTGAAAACGATATCTGTGTTCATGTGAAGTTGTTTGTCTAAATGTGGAATGTAAAAAACGAAAATTGCTTGTATCTGACCTGGAAGATTTATGAACGTAAAATGTTTTGAACAAAACAGCACAATGCTGCCTGCTATTGTTAATGTATACAATGTAATATACCAAAAGTCGTAACCAGACTTGGTAAATTTTAGATAGTCTGAAATTAAGAAATCAGATTGAAGATACACTTGAAAGTACTGTAAACGTTCATGTTTTAGCAGTAGTCTTTTTAATGTCTGCGCCAATTTGGATGGTTGTATCTTGCTGTCTATTAGATGTGTTGTGGGCACGCTAAATCATCAGTTTAACGTCCTATTAACAGCTATGGTCATTTAAGGACGTGCCATGTTTTGGTGGTGGAGGAAAGCCGTAGTTCCCGGAGTAAAACCAATGACCTACGGCCAGTACCCAGTGACTGCCCCACGTAGGCCTGGAACACGCGACCCAGTGGTGGAGGGATAGTGGTAGCAGACGCCTTAACCACTTGACCACTGTGGCCCTATTTAAATTCGAGAAAGTGCTTAACTAGGTACGTTTACAGTATATGTACAGAAGAGCTGTCATAATTGTGTGCTATATGACACTATAAAAAGCAACAAAACATTTTACTGTGACTGGAGAAACACTAAATAGTGTGAAAAGGACATTGCTGTTTTGAAACACATTCGGCAAATGGTGATTTATTACCGATCCAATATTTCTGTTTAATTGAAATACTTATCAATGGAACGTACCTCGATCGTTTCGCGATTAATCTGAAATATTTATCAAAGTACGTACCTCGTTTCGAGAGTAATATGAAATATTAGTCAATGGTACGTACCTCGTTTCGAGAGTAATCTGAAATACTAATCAATGATACGTACCTTGTTTCTAGATAAATCTGGTGGCACAGGATTTGTCATTGTAGTTATTTGTGGCGTACTGACTACATCAGAAGTAGGACGTGAAGTAGGTGGTGATGAGGGATGCACGGTAGATCTAGTGGTTGTTGTCCCAGCAGTTACGATAGACGTAACTTTAGGAGTAGATGTGCTTGTTGTCATTGCCGGTTTGGTTGGTTGAGTAGCTGTTGGTGATGAAGAACTGGAAGTCGTTGTGCTTGTGGATGGAGTTGCCGTTGGAGTTTTAGTTGCCATTGGAGTTGTAGTTGTCGCAGTAGATGAAGTGGTTGCAGATGTCATTTGAGGTGTAGTTTGGGTGGACGATGACACGGATCCAGTTGTTGACGCGGTTGGTGGAGCTGAAGGGGTTGTAGGGTGAGGTGTAGATGTGGTGGGTAATGGAGTTGAGGTTGTTGATGTGATTGTAGTTGGTGGAGCTGAAGGGGTTGTAGGGTGAGGTGTAGATGTGGTTGGCAATGGAGTAAGGGTTGTTGATGTGATTGTAGTTGGTGAAGCTGAAGGGGTTGTAGGGTGGGGGGTAGATGTGGTGGGCAATGGAGTAAGGGTTGTTGATGTGATTGTAGTTGGTGGAGCTGAAGGGGTTGTAGGGTGAGGTGTAGATGTGGTTGGCAATGGAGTAAGGGTTGTTGATGTGATTAAAGTTGGTGAAGCTGAAGGGGTTGAAGGGTGAGGTGTAGGTGTGGTTGGCAATGGAGTAAGGGTTGTTGATGTGATAGTAGTTGGTGGAGCTGAATGGGTTGTAGGGTGAGGTGTAGATGTGGTGGGCGATTGAGCTAGGGTTGTTGATGTTATTGTAGTTGATGGAGCCGAAGTGGTTGTCGATGCAGCTGTCGAATGACGCGTAGTCGACGTGGGCGAAGACCAGGATTCAGTTATCGACGTGGTTGGTATTGCTGAAGTGGATGTAGGTTCCGTTGTTAGTGGTGCAGTTGTGGTTGGCGATGACATGGATAGAGTTGTCGCCGTGGTTGCAGTTGACGGAGCCGAAGTGATTGCTGAAGATGTCGTTATTTCTGTTGATGAAGACCTTGAGTTAGTTGTCGATGACGATGATGAAATCGTTGACGTGGGTGTGGCTGAAGAATCTGACGCTGAGGACGGAGAAGTGCTGGAAGGATTTGATGTCAATGATGCTGTAGTACTGGAAGAATCTAATGTCGGAGATGATGAAGTGTCTGATGAGTCAGACGTTGAGGATGGTGAAGAGCTGGAAGGATCTATTGTTGAAGATTGTGAAGTGCCTGAATAGTCTGTAGTTGTGAACATAGAAGTACTGGAAGGATCTGCTGTCGGATACGGTGAAGTGCCTGATGAGTCGGGGTTCAACGAAGTGACTGAAAGATCTGATGCTGAGGACAGTGAAGTAAACGGAGAATTAGAGGTCGAGGACGGTGAACTGTCTGAAAAATCTGGTGTTTGTGATGATGACGCAGCAGAAGGAAAACTTGTCGGTGCTGAACTGATTGCTAATGTAGTTGTGTCAGCATTACTAGAAACCGTTGCTGCTGTTGTTGACGTTGTAGAACCTATGGGAAAATCAACACAGACTGCATCACTTAGGAAGTCACAACCTCGATAATAATAAAAAATGTTTTTGCTTTTCAATTTCTCTTTTGAATGGCAGTGTCCCCCATTTTTGGTTTTTATAAAACATACCTTTTTTAGCTCACCTGGCACAAAGTGCCAAGTGAGATTATGCCGTGGCGCGGCGTCAATATTTTAATTTAAACGACTTCTTCATAATAACCGAAAGGCCTAGGGTGTCGATATTTGGCTAGAAGCAAACTGGGATGAAGGGCTACAAAATTTGTTCAAATGAATGACCTTCACCCATATGCTAGGTCACATGGGTCAAATATGTTAAAAACTTTTAACAACTTCTACTTGATAACCAAACTGCCCAGGGAGATGATATTTGGCCAGGAGCATGCTGAGATGAAGGGCTACACAGTTTGTTCAAATGAATGACCTTCACCCATAGTCAAGGTCACAGGGGTCAAATATCTTAAAAACTTTAAACATCTTCTTCTCAATAACCAAAATGCCCAGGGGGATGATATTTGGCCAGTAGCATGCTGACATATTCAAGGTCACAGGGGTCAAATATCTTAAAAACTTTAAACATCTTCTTCTCAATAACCAAAATGCCCAGGGTGATGATATTTGGCCAGTAGGATGCTGAGATGAAGGGCTACACAGTTTGTTCAAATGAATGACCTTCACCCATATTCAAGGTCACAGGGGTCAATTGTCTTAAAAAACCTTTAAACAACTTCTTCTCAATAACCAAAATGCACAGGGTGATGAAATTTGGCCAGTAGGATGCTGAGATGAAGGGCTACAAAGTTTGACCTTCACCCATTTTTAAGGTCACAGGGGTCAAATATCTTAAAAACTTTAAACATCTTCTTCTCGATAACCAAACTGTCCAGGGTGATGATATTTGGCCAGCAGCATGCTTAGATTAAGGGCTACAAAATTTGTTCAAATGAATGACCTTCACCCATATTCAAGGTCACATGGGTCAAATGTGTTAAAAACTTTAAACGACTTCTACTCGATAACCAAACTGTCCAGGGTGATGATATTTGGCCAGTAGCATGCTGAGATGAAGGGCTACAAATTTTGTTCAAATGAATGACCTTCACCCATATTCAAGGTCACAGGGGTCAAATATGTTAAAAACTTTAAACAACTTCTTCTGAATAACCAAAATGCCCAGGGTGATGATATTTAGTCAGTAGCATACTAGGATCAAGGGCTACCAAGTTTGTTTAAATGTATGACCTTGAATCATATTCAAGGTCACAAGGAGCAAATATGTTCAAAATATTTAAACAACTTGTTCTGAATAACCAAAAGGCTCAGGATGTTGATATTTAGTCAGTAGCATGCTGGGATCAAGGACTACTATGTTTGTTAAAGTGAATGACTTTGACTTATATTCAAGGTCACAGGGGTCAAATTTGTTTAAAATCTTTAAACGACCTCTTCTGAATAACCATGGGTCCCAGGATGTTGATACTTTGCAAGTTGCATCCTGAGATGAAAGGCTATAAAATTTGTTCAACATAATGACTTTGTTCGACTTTCAATCACAGGGGTGAAATGTTTAAAAAAAAATTAACAGGGTCTTTTGAATGAATTTTAATCATAAATACTGATATTTTGCCTGTAGCTTTATTTTAGATCACTTTTAAGGTTACAAGTGTGAGATTTATACCAGGTGAGCGATACAGGCCCATTGGGCCTCTTGTTAGTAAGGCGAATTCGTTATATATTTTTTTTGCAGGAAGACTCGCATAACCTGCATGCCTTGATTAAATGTTACTTACATAAAGTTGCATTATTTTTCTTTACATCTACTCAGTAACAGTGTTTAGAAAATGTAATCTTTTGCAATTTTCTTCAATTAAAAAACAAATGTTTGCTACTTGTTTTAAAACAATATGTTCTCAACCGGTTTAACACAGAATTTATAGAACTTTGTCAGGCCGTTTGTCGTCAAACATTTTTTACGATCACAAAAACAATTGTTGGAATCTAGGAACCATTTTGAAAACGCGTTTTCTTTATTAAGCGTGATAAAGAGCCAATTTAATGGGTAATAACCAAGGAAAACATTTCATTAAATATGGACAAAATTGTAATTCAATCTGTCTGTCTGACGTAGCAGTAATGGTTTATATCGTGTCAATTCGACCTAAGAGACATGGCTAATCTGTTTTATCAGGAAGTCTATGTGCTTCAGTCGGATGGACTTGTTGAAATGTGAAAGACCCTGGAATATTTACCCCAAATCTCTATATGAGGATTTCTGATATTCCGACACCATTCAAATCTAACGTCACGCTACCACAATTGGTACGCTTCCCAATTTGATACATGGCCAGATGTTGTGTTAAAGAGTTATTTAAAATTACATTTTAATATTTTCAATGTTTAAATGTTTGTTATGCACGGATAATAGATAAGTGTAAATATGACAACAGTAGTTCAGTGTTGTATGTATAAAAGCAATACATTTTGTTGTAATCTGCTCATCAACGTTAAGAAATAAAAAGGTTTCGTAGCCTGTGATATGGTGTAACATTGTGGCTACTAGTCATGACAGAACTACGGATGAAATATCACTTTTGAGTTTTTGAACAATTTAATTTTGAAAAACAAATAACTTGAGTCGAAAATTTCGTGAAAATGAACCACTGCGGGCAGTCTTTGTCAAAAATGAGGAAATATGTCCCGAAATATGATCTGGTATTTTGCATTCTTTTTAAAAACACGGTCAAACTTGTGCTTGGGTTATCGCGACGTTAGATGCTGTAACCTATAACAAAACCTAATCACAGTAATACAACACATTAGAAGGACCTTACACCATGTAAGAATACGAAGAAGATAGATGCAAAAAGAAACTGCGCAATACATTCAGGAAAATTTAAACAAAACGCAAACGAAAAGATATCTATTGTCACGGTGACATGTATCCATGTTTATACTAAGCGTTATCTCGGTCGATGAGAAAACATACTATCCCGTAATACTATAAAGAGACGGTTGAGAAAGTAGACCAAACATGCTGTACGAAATCTATAGTGGTAGTTGTGACTAAACATACATTGCAGAGACAAGTAACCACGACTGCTACGATTAGAATGTGCTAGAAAGGGAAGTTAGGCATGTCTATCCATGAACGAAAGATGCTTTGACTTTGCCGATATTTGCTTTCAAAAAGAAACCAAACTGAATATCTCCCAGCTTGGTCACATATGTCATTTCTCCTACTGTTGGAGAGTACCATTTATCTGTGTAAGTGGCCTACGGACGAAATCAAATCCATTATTTCATTACTACTGAAATGCAAAACCTATGAACAGGAAGAGATTGTACATCCAGGTCGAAATGGCCTTAAGTGCATGTATTACTACTTTGTTTATGTACACTAGACATTTTTATGACTGTTTTGTATTGATTTTGTGATTGTTTTACCTTAATTATGGTCCATTACAATGCTAATCTAGCCTGCTTTCATGCTTTTGAAAGAAAACAGGTTCGAAATATGGGCTCACTGTGTAAAGATCAACTGTTTACAAATAAATCTCAAAACTGAAATTTCTACTTTGAAAAATGATAAATTCAAATATCATGACATTAATTCGTGCCGTATACAACGAATTTGTACACTCAGGTGACGGTCAATGCCAGGGGTCAAATGCCAAACTTAATTGAGTTATCACGATACAAAGCGTTCTATTGACATGCTAATATCCAAAGGTCTAAAGAGACTAGCCGTCAGGGTCAAAGTTCAAATGATTGTGATCACACACAAAAATGGAGAAAAAGAAACTTTTTATAATAAGATACATCCTTTTTCTAATTGGCAACTTGATTTAATTTAAAGAAACTTCATGGTCGAATGCAGTATTACTAGCCAATGTGCCATGGTAGGGGACATGACCTAATTATTAATATATTTATATATATATGTAAATAAAAATATAAGTCTCATAAGTAATAACAACAGCATGATGTACTATGGACACTTGATCCGAACAAGCGTTCGTTAGATGCGTACTAGATATATCTAGTTAGTAAAAAAAATTATCTTTTAGTTGTTCGTGTACATGTAATTTGTCACTAGATTTATTCCGATTTTTTTGTATTAATTCACTTGACCTCGCGTATTCAAGATGGATTTGTATAATAATTATCTTTAAGTTACAAGCTTACTTAGATGATATGCAATCACAAAAGCATATTTCATATAAGTACAATGTTAAACTGTTACTTTGTTTGTGTATATTAAGTTGTATAACTGTTTCAAAGTGACTTTTTATCCCTGTCAGATGTTGTTCATGTTTCTGTTTTGAAAAAGGGATGGATCACATGGAAAGTTTAACATTTTGTTTGTTTTGTAGCTAAATACCAGAAATGGAATGTTAGAAAAACGGGAAAACTTACCGAAAATGAAAAATATCCACACAACCGGAAAAACATGAGAGGACGATGCCATGTTTTAAATGATTTTTAACACTTCTGTAACAAAAACAAAACAAAACATTAAATACATTCTTCTATCTCATTAAATATTCATTTAAAATAAAATTCTATTAATCTGTTATTTAAGTATAATGCAAAATGCGTATCTGGTTTGTTTGATTTTCATTGGATACAGACGTTTCCTCACTGGGTACATGTACGTTCTTATGGACACTGTATTTCTTCTCTTTACTTTAGTATGTTGGCCTACGCTATGTATCTTCTGATCGTTACAAGGGCACATCACGAAGAAAATGTAATAAGTCTGATACTATAACTATCAAGTTTCCTTTGGACTAGCTCTATCCTAAAATTGCATTTCAAATTGAGATATGATAAAAGCCAAAACACTACTTTTTGAGGTAAAATGGAAAACAAAAAGAACCAACTACGGTATTATGATCATCCATGACACAAAAAATGAGCAAATTATCGTCAATTTAACAAATGTGTTTTCCCTAGGATGCTTCGAGGATGGTCTAATATTAAAGGATTTATATTATGTATTTATTCATAATTATTTATTGATTTCATTTGTACTATTATTATTTCCCAATCGTTTGAAAGAATTAAGGTAGGTATACAACATTTCTATGTTCTTTTCTCTTGTGTTCTCTATCGATTTCCTCTTCCAAAAAGTCCATTTTTATTATAATGAAATAATTAAATAATAATTGTAACATTAACAGATATTTGTTGCTGTGGCCATACACGTGAAAATTTTATACGACATCCCACATCTAAGACATTGCTGAAAAGAATATGCTTTTCACCATTTCTGGATAGAATTTTATCGTAAAGCAATGATTGTTTTTTAAACAATGATCTTTCAGACTTACCTGTGAACCTGTTGAGACGTCAATAGCTAGCTGTGTGATTATCTATGTTACCTCTGGATTTTAAGAGGTGTGCTTGCATTTGACCACTCAACTGATAATCACTACGCCTTCTATCAACCACTTCATATGAAGAGGTCCTCTTTTATAACCACATATATCCCTTAAGGTGTAGCGGATGTGACGAAACCGCCTTTTATGACCATACATTGACACAATAAGATGTTGTAAATTGTATGTTTAATGTTTGAATAAATATTTCATATCAACCGTAGCCAGTCGGGTGATTAGAACGATTAACCACCCACCACAATTTTGGTGTCATGATATTGCAAATTATTTTTAATACCGATTCAGTTGGGTGTAATGATCAGTTTTAGATTAGTCTTTTTTCAATCATTGTCTTTGCCTTAACCATTCCTGTATATAACACCTAGGTGTGGCGGTTTCGTTTGCATTTGTTCTGAGAAGGAGAACTAAATTATTCATGTAATCGCATGACTTGAATGCCGTATGTGATATGTTGTTTACTGAAATACGACTTCTCAGAGTAGGAGAAGCGTGCTTAACAATGAAAGCAATATATTTAACACAAGTTTAGAACAAAGGACATTTTTGCAAAATACTAAACCTTGCTTCTATTTTAAAACAAAATCATATCGCAAGAGGCGGCTTAAGTAGCGTCTCCTGTGGAATCGGGATTTTTTCGTCGTGTCTACTGATTAGAGATGAATAAACCAAACTTCATCTGCTGCCCGCACTGAAATACTTAGGATCTTTTAACTATTTTTGGCGTTGTCTCCCTAGACTCCCGTCTTTATGACCTTAGCTGTTTCTGGGGACGTTAAACCCAAAATAATGATTTTGTCGACATGATCCTCCATGAAAGACATTCACTTTTCTTTTTAGCTGAAATGCAAATATAAATTAAGACTGAGATTATGAGTGCTGTTTCTATAAACAAACTATGTCAAAACAAACTTAAGATATTGTTTTATATCTTAAACAGATACAAATTATCTTCTGTTAGAAGTGTTTACACCCTTTTTATCAGTGTTCACTATGGAACCCGTAACTGTACGCTCTGAGGGGGTGACCTGATCTGCACTGATAGATACAGGACACTGACCATATTTCTGAATGTTTCACATACCACAATCCTTAAATTGTGTAAATTATGAACAGATAAGGAACATTGACATTGGTTTTGTTCCGTGCATTTTCCCTTTTGCACATTAAAAAGCAAAAGTGAGAAAAGTAGGAATCCGTTTTTTTCATTTAAATGGGATGTTTTAATTCCACTTTATGCCTGTCGTTCATCTCTTTAAGCATCAATTCTTCTATACCTCTTTATTCTAATCCGGTACTTACAGAGTGAAATAAATATATCTATTTTAATTAGCATTTCATAAAAAAACAAAAACATCAACATATCTAATTTTACAGAAACGAAAAATATAATATATCAGTATTTGAAACATATTTTCTCAGCGTTGCACTGTCGAGTTTGCATAGGGACAAGCCTACGGAAATTCTTCAAGTGGTGGGTGAGGGGTCAAGACATACCCAGAACTTGATAGTGGTCGGATGCACCGAGTGACAAGGACACTTGTAATACCCTTATATACTTTAAAATGTACCATACAAATAAAGCATGGGTGTTGCTATGTACCTGTGACGGTAAGAGACCAATAATTCAGTAAGAACAGTGCTTCAGGACTACTCGAATGGTTCCAAATTATCGTATAACTGTCTTCTACTACGGGGGAAACACTGGAAACAATTATATACAAATTACCGTGAAATTAGATGTGAGTATGTGACACATAGACAGACTTTTGCATCAGTGCTACACATTTATTACTTCATCCAATATATATAAGGCCTAGCATTTATGTTCAGTAAACAATGTTAAATGTATAATAACTTTTTCGCATTCATTTGCATGCCATATAAGTTCTGAACAATTTTGAAATGATTTTAACGACACTTGAATGTAAGAAGGCTTTAAAAGGGGAGCGTACGCCACATCCATCTTACTAGGAACACTTTAATTGGGGTTTTTTCTCCTAAAACTCCGCCTTTCCTCCAACACCAAAACCTGGCACGTCCTTAAATGACCATAGCTGTTAATTTGACGTTAATCACAAACAACTCAAACACACATAAATATTGATAGACTTAAGGTAACATATCAAAGGTGCAATAACACAACATATTCTGCAATACACTCCGAATCTTTTACTACAAAATAAACGAAAAAAAGAGTCGCTGCATGAAATTCAACAATATTATGTGATTCTTCTTCAGGACAGCTGCCACACTGCAGGCAAAACGCTAGGGACTTCCAGCGTACATTTTGATAGTTATACAAACAGTGTTCTACTCTTAATCCCTTTTTAGATATATGTGTAACTGCATCGGGGCTTGGTCAGTTTACTACCGTTGACCAGGCAGCTCACTTGGTTGAGCGACAATAAAATGATAGGTAGGGGAATCAGGGTTAAAATCCTGGTCTGCTCTCATTGCATTTTTACAGTTTTGTATTATTTTCTGTTTATTCATATTTATAATTTTTCTGTTTATTCATATTTATAATTTTTCTGTTTATTCATATCTATATTTTTTCTGTTTATTCATATTTATAATTTTTCTGTTTATTCATATCTATATTTTTTCTGTTTATTCATATTTATAATTTTTCCATAAAAGATTTAGGAATCAAATTCATATGCAAGCAGGGAAACTGTTTCACATACAGAGTTGCAGTGGTACGGGGATCCTTGACATGTAAACGGCATACAGTATTGATATTTGACCTGCAGCCCGTTACGATAACAGTCTAAATAGTTTAGCTAAGGAACTAAAGTACAGAGTAATGTTATTTGGCCAGCATTGTAAGCTTGGTTGCAATTGAGTTTGTTTATATGAACTAGATCTTAATCTACTTGAAAGCTTACATCCACGTGTCTGTCAACATCATTCAAAAGCAGGTGAGAGATGCAGACGCAGGCCTCTTCATTCCACGAAATGTTTAATCGGCATCCATTTTATTTATGGACACGGACAATATATACAATACGGTTACAGACTTTGGAGATCTGTGTATTTCCTTCTAATGTGGTGTGTGATTAGCGAAAAGATAAAAAAAATCAAGAAATATCATTTAAGAAGGATCGTTTAAAATTAAAGAAAGGGAAATTTTGGTCAAATGAACTAGAATCAAACGAACTCGTTTATTTCTTATATCATTTATAGGATTCATCAGTTTGGAAACATGTGATATCAACGTTTTACTTTTTACACAAACAATGTATGTATTAAAAGTGTTGCAAAGTTTCAAGACCGACTGGTCCCTTTGTCAAGCTACGACTGAGTGAGCGATTTGCATTTTTTACCTGCACAACGATGTGACGATTTATTTTTATTTTTGATGTCACCCGTCTCGGGACGTTTCGCCTATCGATAGAGAGCGTAAACAAACTGTATCAAATAGTAAAACGTTGATATCTTGCATTTCTTACATTGTCCAGAGCAAAACAAAAACATAAACAAAACTACATCATCAGGGATATAGTAAATGTGCTATCTACGACCAGTTAATAATGCTTGTCATATAGTAGAATTGCAAAGCATTACGATTATCTGTTATTTATAATATACTACGTAGTAATATACTAAGTAATAACCTCCTTAGTGAAAACAAATGAAATAGAGCGAAATAATTCAAAGAAATATTTTATTTTGTAAAATCACAAAACGGGTACACATAGAACTTTGTAATATACATGTACGATAAAATTGTGTAATGAATTACCACATATCTCACAGTAGGGAGACATATGTACCTTACGATATCATTCAAGTATTAACACTTTTTTATATCAATCACAAGTGATTCTCTGCAGTGAGATATGCATACGCTGTTTTGACTGCTTATGTTGATTCCTCCTCATCAAACAGAGATAGTTTGACCCATAACGCTGAATTGATATAATCGAACTAAAATAATTTGACTGCTAAAGTTGATTTTGAATTATTGAATAATCTCTCATCATTGAATGATGGCGGTACAATTTTTCATTAAAAACGACATTAACATTTTTGCAAGACAAATGTAATTCGATTGATTGGACACATATATTAGATTTATTACCGAATGAATCATTTTGTGTGACGTAATTTACATCCTTTTTCACACAGCATGAGGAGATACGTTTATATTATTTCTGGAAAAGGATTTTAATGTAGTATTTCCGATAGAATATCTCTAAACGTTAGTTTGCACAAACTCTGGTAATTATATCACAAAACCAAAGAAAGTTCTGTATCCGTTGAAATATAAATAAATATATTATTTCATACTTCTATGAAGTGAATATCTGTGCAGAACTGTCCAACAGCTCCTTAAATTAACACAATCAATTGTATATTAGATTTGTAATGTAAGTGTTTAATCAATGTACTTGCTATCATCGGCACACTGCTCGTCGAATAAGTACTGAAATCTGTTTTGAAAAACCCAACAGGTGAAACTAGAGTATAATACATGTGTAGAAATATTTTACATCTGTTGGAATCTCTGTACAACACACGTACATCAGATCCAACTAGCCGGTTTTATATTGGTAAGATTACTTTTGTTTACTCACTATTTATCCTTCTGTTTACAACAGGGACCATTATAAACAATGGAATCTTATTAGATATCCGGATTATATCATGAGACGTTGCAAGACGGCAATCCTTAATATCCTTACTTTCGTTTGGCTATATTCACTGTTTCTGGTCTTGTCTATCGTTTATGAGCATCTGTTGTCCCTGTGAGTTAATGCTGTAGTGTAATATTTTATTTATCATAATAAAACAATATTATATAAGCAATTAACGAAATAGCCCGACAATTATTATTCAAAAATATAATATGACATATTCAGATATGAAACAAATAAGAAAATTGATCAACGAATGTTGATGTACATGTTTTTGAAGTTTGTTTTTGAATACTAACAATACACAGTAATTTGCCCACAGTGATAGAAACGTAAAAGAAACGTGTTGTAATGACAGTGAAACAGGATGTATACATCAACAGGTATATATCGTATATAGTGGTGAGGAAGGCAACAGGTCGGTAAAAATATTGGAATTATAGACACGAACATATATCATTTCAGATATTCATATTCTATATTCTAAAATGTGAATATATATTGCAAATTACTTAGTTTTCGCGAAATTAATTGTTTTCTACTTGCGCTAAAATGTTTTGAATTTATTCCCAATGTCGGCGGCGAGACATTTGGATCCACTATTGACTTTCCTAATATGCATATTGCAAAACACATTTGTATTTGTTGCCGTCAAAATAAAATTAGTCAGGTTGCTATTAAGAAGATAATTAAATGAAATCTTGACTTTTACAATAGCAAATCATTATAGTACACTCATCCTCAAATTATATTGCTTTTTATAAATTTGATTGTTAAATGTTCAACAGCAAACGTACGTCAGTCGAACAATCCCCGTCGTCTTAAAACAAATAAAAAGTCAAACTATTTAAGCTAAATCCTAAAGTAAATAAACTTAATCAAAAACATTGCATCAATATAAGTTTATCAAAAGGAAAAATCAGAAAGCACGTTGAATGCACGACGTATTAAAATTTCACAAGGATTAATATATATATAGATAATAATAAGCATTTAAGATGCCCACTTGTCTTTGCAATGAGCATAGATCGGCATTTAATCATTTAAAAGGAATCGTACTCGACACAAAATATATTTGATGATAAACACAAGGAAGATTATACGTATATAATCTCTCAAACCATAATATCACAAAAGGTTAAAATTTTAATAATTTTCTTTTCAGAGTGCGTTGATTTCGTTATCCGTGTCGATAACCAATATAACATCACAGTGTGCAAAAAGTACATAGGATAATTAACCATACATTGAAACATCGTTAAAGGAACACAATATATATTCAAAAATAGTTTTCGTCAGATTCTCCATCGGATTTCATATACAAAAAGCAAGTGGCTGGCCTCTTGATTAGGTAGTGGTGCACCTTAATAGGAAAAAACGTAACCGAAGGGTTAGAAAAATATAACCAATAAATTATATCTACGATCTAATGATCAGTAGTAGCTTAAACCACACAAATTTCACTGGTACATAGTGACTCTCATTTTGCCACGACCTCATCGTAACGTAAAGCGTAAAAGGGTGAGCAGAATTGTGAAGGAGTTCTGATTTACAGGAATTTAAATGGTAATTTATTCATTGACAGATTATAGTTTAACGAAGTTTCAATGCATGCGTCTATATTGAGGGTTCCCGAAATGGAACAGTACCAAAAACGGAACACTTTTCAAATTTATGATGCCGCTTTTCTTTTTCGATACAACTGAATGGTATTTTTAGTCGAAATTAATAGATATTTAAGCAATATGAGCACTATTTTCTACCTAGCTCGTAAGCTTAATTAAACAAAAATAAGAATAAAAAACTTATTCCCGGGAAAAAGTTAAGGTGTGACTACATTGATATCCTGCAGTTTTTTCATAACATGGAAAAGGCAACGTTCAAAGAAGAATTAAAACATAAACATTTAGCATAATCAGAAAGTATCGAAACTTACATTACATGAAATAAAAGGAAATAGTTTCAATGCTGTCAGTTATTTTGATGAATTGACTGAATTGATGAAGTCTACTGGTATTCGGTACACTTGCTTGTTAAAACGTACATGTGAAGCTGACTAAACTAAATGGGCTCTAGTTATAGATGCACGCGCTGTTGATATCTGAGAAATAAACAAAATGAAAGCTTAAGACATCAATTGTATCATTACGATAAACAAATGGTGTTCTGCTACCTCCATAAAACATAGTTATAATTTTCTTCAATAAAGAGTTCCATTTTGGGTACACTTGCATTACACACATAAAATGCTCTAACAAAATCTACTGAAAATGAATCTTTCTTATGTTTGATGAAGTAGCATATGACATTTGATGTTGTAATGTATATTACGATACACTTATATGAATGTTTAGTCGTAAATAAGACGTCCACAATGATTACATCGATAGTATTATCGACGTTTTGTACAGTACTTTTTAATTAACTGTACGCTGACATAGTGCTAACTAATTATGACTGATTTACCGGACTAGAACATTGCATAAATAAAATATTTTTATTCACACCGACATTCAATTAATTGAAACAGAAGTAATGTTATAAAACCATCAACATACTTTCAAATGAGTAATTATTTTTCTTAATCGTCCATCTTATTCTTTCAGCATATAATGGTCACTGATGGTTCCTTACATGCTATTCAGGTTTATTCCATTAAGGATAGATGATAGAATTTACCATTTTGCCGGATTATCAGAAGCCCCTCTAATAACTGACGTCAATTATACATATGAATCATCTGTTGTGTGACGATTATTTCCAGTATGTAGGTATATATATATTAAATAAAGAAACGTTATGGCGTTGAATGACAGTTGAAATATTGCATGATTTCATTACTCTAAAAATAACGCAATTTAATCAATTCTGTGAAATTATTAAAAAGAACAATAACAACATTATGTGGGGTAACAATCACCACATTTCTTAAATTTAAAGTAACGTTTGATTAAAATTCACAAAAACTTAATCGCAACGTTTGATTGAGTAATTCAACAAATATAGCATCAATGCTTTCATATTATGAAATTGATATCATTTCTAAAAATTCGCCATTTATGTCTATCAGATAATTCCCATTTAAGTGAATTCGAAACATTGTTTTTTTCAAATTAACAAATTGATATTTAAAAATATGCATGGTCTCAAAATGAAAATTAGCAACAAAATGGCATATTTCTTATAATCCAAACAGTCATATTTTTCCTCAAAATACGTCCTCCTTTAACGCAAGTTCAACGTTTGCATAACATCAATAATTACAATGGCTTTTATTGTAGGTTTCCAGATTGTATAAGTAAATGAAAAGATGAAATATTCAGTAAACCATACTAGCAAAGCATCTTCAACAGAAAATTTATTAAACACAAAACTATTTTACAGATGTCTCCAAAGAAATAATGATACTATAGTGCATGTACTAAATTGTGCAATTGCCTATTGTCTCAATGTTCTAGAATATTCGTGCGTTGTAGATAAACAACCATTATCCAAATATGGTTACTAATTTGAGATTTGATTTATTTTTCACTCGACGACATCAACGTTGAATTATATTTCAAGGGTCATTCTGCATGGCTGTGGGCACAGGATATTTGCTTTTAATAGATATTATCCTTTTTATTTGGATGATACTTGTTTACTGAACCGTGTGTGATTATTGTCACTTAAATGATTACACCTCTTTCATCACACTGTCACGTGACTGTCGTTTACGTCTTGACGAGATCCTTAGGATGCATGAGGACTGGAGTACGTTACCGTATACGGTACAAGTGTTCCTACTTAAGGAATACGTTCCGGACAATGCCATCTACAAATACATTAAATTTGTAGCTTTGACAAATTCAATTACTGAGACTTGTGTCCCTCAAACAGCTTGTTCCTCAACCTTCTTCCTTTTCTTGACAAAGTCGTCTGCGTCCTTGTCCCATGTTCTCGCTGCCAGCACGTCCAATGCCCCATTTTCTACACGCAAAACAAAAGGTGATACTTTACTTGATGACATAACTTATACAAGTATCGCTCCATAATATGTGTTTTAATTAGTTATTTTATAACAGGACTGTTTACCCTAGTTTGAGATTTTAATGTTTAGTCCTGCGTTTCAAATTAAAAAAACTGCCAAAGGAAAACGTTAAAAAGAAGATTCCCAATCTTTTGATATTGTACTCAATTATCTATATTCCACTCAATAATGCACCTTGTACATCCGATCAGTTAAATATATAACATTCTGTGTTACATTTCTTGATATTGATGTCCATGTTTTATTCGCGAGAGCCAATTTGAAGAAACATCATTATAATTTAGTGTTTTGAGGTTTCTGCCATCAATATCATCGGTATTCCTCCTCATACCTTTATGTTTTGGTTGCATCATGGGCAGTGATACGATGTTTAAGGCGTCGAACCCCGAAATCTCCTCGTCCACCCCTGGCAAGTCTGCCAGGCTGACATACACCTCCCCAGCAAAGTCGTTCTGGAACACATAGTCATGGTCCATCACCGTCAGTAGTAGAACAGCTCCTGCGTGACGACACTGTTCGGGAGTGATGTCACTGTGGTAGATAAATAATATTTTGCCTTTTAAATACCGAAATGTAAAAGTAAAAACAAAGAAAAGAAAAAAAGAGAGAATAACAAACTGTAATCAAGAGTATAGTTCAAACTCGAAATCGATAAAACTAGAGCAACAGAAGAATGACTAATAAGGATGATAAGACCAGGTGTTCCAGAGGAGTACGCGTCATCTAAAGAGAACTGAATTAGTGAGGTCAAGGTATACTTATGAACATCATCAGAACATTGACTGTCATACGGATGTTATATCTAAATCTAAATGTATCCGTTTATGTTGATATAAGGACATATTAAAATTTCCAAATAGTTTACAAAACTATCTATCGAATCATTGTGTTGGCAAAATAATATTCTTGGAAGACTGCTCTTTCAACTGCAACTTTCGAAAATCCCTAGGCTTTTACATTCGTCCACATTGCGGTACTATGTCATTGGGTGTTTACTTATATACAAATAAATTTAGATAGAAATCAGACAAAAAAAGAAAAAAGATTTGCACACGGTTTCTTGTAAGTATGAAAGACAGTGGATATCGCTACAAATACTGAAAAAAAAAGATGTAGAATTTTTGGCACTGCCATTCTATAAAGAAATATATATATATAGTATGGATATAAACAAAACTGAAATTCAAATACAGATCGAGACAGCAGCACTATAGAAAGATATACTTACAATTCAAACGTTTCCTCAAATGTTGGATTCAATGTCTTTTTCACAATATTCGTTTTCTGTATCGTAACATTTGGGAACACGTGTTCTGGACACAGCTGGAGTAGCACAAACGGATCACTCAGACCTGTCAAATGGGCGAATTTGAAAAATGTTTGCATCGTTTATTTCAAGAGATATCTCTTTTATTCATTTATACGTTTGGGTATTCGGTCAAGATTGACAATTAAAACATATTTCGAGTATTACAAAAGAAAATTGAGAACTCTAAATAAATTGTAAATGAATAAACTTCATTGCGAATCATATTTTGAGGAATTTATCCCTAATAAATATATACAGTACTTTATATTTACATTCACCAAATGGGCCTTAAGTACAAATTTGAATCTAGCTTATGTTCATGTAGCTTGTCAGTTGAATTTTGTTGTCTTTTCGAGTACGAAATACGTTCTTCTATCAAAAACATACTTTTTGTCTTACAATCAAATCATCTTTATTACCAGGAAATTCTTCTAACAGGTAGTATATGCGGTATGCGAAAACCACTTACCGTTAGCATCCAGCGGTATAACATCCTTTGCATTTAGGACTAGATAGAAAAAAAGATAACGCAAACTAGAGAAAAGACATAATGATCTTACTAACTATTCTTACTTGGAATCAATGACAAACATTTCATGCATTAGATGTACAAATAAACGAAAAGTACGTTCAGCAGGGACTAAATATATTTTTTATAAAATATCCCGAATTGTATATAATGCATTAGTTAAAAGGAATTAATAAAAGCAAAACCAATCAACGGATTTTCATTATTCATATTTATTTCGTTAAGACTGCTGTTTGACTGAAATAGGTAGACATTTCTTTATATAATATTAGATATCTTTCCTCGAACATATTCAAAGTATCTGGACCCTTTGGAATTGTGATAGTGACTGTAAAAATGAATTATAACATAGGTTAAAGGTAATTGAACTTTGTTATCCTTAATGGTTTTCACGTCTATATCCGGTAATAACATACCCTCCACTAGCAGTGACTGTGAGTCCTGTCTGTAACACATCCTCACGTTGAGTATGCCGTATTCCTTACTAGTCCGTGCTTTCTGTAGAGATAAACAATTATCATCTTCAGTATCAAACGGTTTTTAGTCAAATGACTACCGTATACGTAGTGCGCAGTGACTTAACCAACATCATATTGTTTTAACACACTGTCAATGCTTTATCTCCCATTGTACGAGATGAATGTAACACACAGGTGATACCACCTTTGAACTTTGGTAATAGATACGGTATGCGAAAAATGAATTACACTGCATCATAAAGCTGTTTCGTCTTTCTAGGACTCACTACATCATACAGCTGTTTCGTCCTTCTAGGACTTACTGCATCATACAGCTGTTCCGTCCTTCTAGGACTCGTTCGTGATGCTAGGGGCCCAATCGTTTGGAAATCCAAATTGGGCTAAACTACTGTAGAAACAGAAGACAACGTGCATACACACCCTTACTTTGATGAATTTCAAAAATTAGAGAGGTACTAGTTTATTTCAAACTAAATAATTAGCAAAGTGTTTATATTCTGAACCATGCAACCACTCAGAACATACTCAAACGTATCCAGTAGCATAAGACCATGCTATATATTTTATTTTGGAAAAAAATGGCGTGTACCTGTTGCTGTAATTTCTCTTCATAGAATACCTCTATCAACGGGAATGTGTTGCGTTTTTGCAGATCAAGCATTCCTTTCAGCTCCTGAAACATATTTGGTATTGTTATTTATGTCAAACAATATTGAAATAGTTCAGATTCTGAATGTTCACAATAATCTGTCTACTGCTATATACAGCATAAACATCACCGACATTATTGAAACTATGCACTGTAAATAACGGTTCAACATGATGAACCATATGTATCACTTATTATTGCTGGTGCTTATTTTACACGATTCTGACAGAAACTAAAATTTGATTTGTAAATTTTCATAATTTAATGGGGTCGAATACTAACTTTCCGGACCAACAATACCAATTGAATTGTTTTCATTAATTACCTTGTATTGTTCAGATTGTATTTTTTGTATTTGTAAGCCTTTTTCGTTTGCATGGAAAAAGTCGACTAGTAATTCTAAGGCGTCGTACATCCTTTTATACATGATTGGTTGTCTCTGAAACGAAAGAAAATATGTTTTGAAAAACATAAAAAAAATCAAAAAAAAATAATTTCATGAAATAATTTCAAAATAAAATAAAGAAACAAATATATGCTTGTAGCGTTTAATTTGATATCAATCAAATAGCAAATAGCTTTTCAGAAATTAAAACAAAAAACAGTTTTATAAGTAATATTGAACTAATTCGTAATGTAAACGTATCATAGTTATCTCCCTTGGATTACTGAACTGAGGCGTTTTATTACTTTAACACATGATCGTAGCATTGATAAATCGCTTTTGGAGCGTGTTTGTAAATATATTTACCGGTTCTTCTTTCAAAATTGTATCCTTGAATTCCGCCAAGACTTCTACCCAGAGTGACAACAAAATTCGGTCAAAGTTTGTCTTGAGCAGATTCTTATTCATGGTCAGTAGGTTGCTATCAAGATAAGTGAGCAAGTCCCCAATAGCCTGGAAAAAAATTCATGTAGTCGCATTTATAAGGTAAGTAATATGAGAAAGATGTACTGGATAAAAGAAACGTTAGATTTTTTTTTTATATTTAGAAATATAAAAACATTCCCATATCAGAAGGAAAGACTGACGTCATGACCATAAATAGTAAGCCTACAAAAGCCGACTGTCAGTTTCGTGCAAACGATCTTACGTTGTTGATATTAACGGCCTAACATTTTCGACACAGGGGGCAAATCAGGAGATTCATGAATGGCACAGGTATAAACCGCCACATCTCTAGTAATGCCTTGCGTAGTTCGTCAGTTGCTTCCGTTTAATGTCGTCGCCCTCTCATCATTCAGTCTAACAGATCCTAGAAAGGCTGAATCGGTTAGAGAACATTATGAAAGAGCAAGCCATAGTAAAACATCGAATTTGTTCTGGCGTAAGAAACGTCAATGCTCACACGAGTGACGTATTGTCGGATGTTATCCTGCTGAAACGCAACGCTGTACCCTCTCCTGAACGATATCACTGGTGCAATGATAATCTAAATTGTGTACAGTTATGTGCTTATTATTGTCTAGTGGTTCCTGCAATGACAACATGCACCGTCTGAGTATTGACCGCTGGACCATTCATAGGGTCTCCGCCATGAGTCATGAAGACTCTAATTGTAAATTACGTAAAGACTATTGGTCCTTTATATGGCCTTCTAGCACAGCGTTATATCTCGGCTTAACGGCATCAGATAAACAGTGAACTGATTGGGCGTATATTTGGTATAGTAGCTACAAGAAGGAGTTTTCCAAGAGATTTCCTAAATGACGTAACCAGATATGCATATCATTCCTCGCCGCCGTGTTGTGTGAAATAGGTTGGAATTATATTTATTGGAAATCCAAACTGTCAAACAACATTTTGTTGTGTAGCACCGAGCTGTAAATATTCTCATATCACTCCACTTGCTCATATTGTCGAGTGGGAGCAACTCGATTTGATAAATGACACGTGTTATCTTTAATGAAAACACGTGCTCTCGCGAGATGTAATCGTTGCATTGGCTGCAACTGCGTTGTTTTCTACCAAAGCTTTACAATGAGTACTTACGTCGTCAGCAGGGACAGACTCTGGTGCCCAGTTCAAGTGGAACACATCTTTCTTTATATCAGGTCTCATCTGTTTAATATGACAAAAAATGTACATAAAAATGTATTAGTCCGACAAAAATATAGTTATCATTTTACTCATTATCCTCCCTTCAGGATTTCCAAATGATAAAAAATATATCAATATGCTATATATTACATATGGAAACAGATGGTTTATTAATACGCATTATTCTCATATTTAAATTTAGGTCTAACTTATCCTTTTTATCAATATGCTTAGTGTGGTATAAATGATTATGAAATAAATATTCAGAGATGGATTCTTGAGCCGATGCATGAAAAACACCCGAGAACACCACTCTAATTTTTCGTACATAGAGACACCTCCCCTTAAATACGTTTTGGATATGACTAGCGCAACAGAGTTGGTCAGGGTACTATAGCAGACTAAAGAGCTATCACGGGCTTGAATCTGGGTCTGGCCCTAGTACTTGTATCTTATCTCAATGTTTTTGTGGTTTTCAATTGAATTGCCATTACCAACACAGATGAACTTTCATTGCCACATTCAGAACACTGCTGTTGTGTTACGGTATTTGTTCCTCATTTCATCTTTATTGGGTTTTTTAGCTCACCTGGCACGAAGTGCCAAGTGAGCTTATGCCGTGGTGCGGCGTCCGTCGTCCGTCGTCCGTCGTCTGTCGTCCGTCGTCCGGCGTCAATATTTTACTTTAAACGACTTCTTCTTACTAACCAAAAGGCCTAAGGTGATGATATTTGGCCAGAAGCAAACTGGGATGAAGGGCTACAAAGTTTGTTAAAATTAATGACGTTCAGCCATTTCAAGGTCACAGGGGTCAAATATGTGAAAAACTTTAAACATCTTCTTCTCGATAACCAAAATGCCCAGGGTTATGATATTTGGCCAGTAGCATGCTTGGGTTAAGGGCTACAACGTTTGTTCAAATAAATGACCTTCAATTATATTCAAGGTCACAGGGGTCAATTGTCTTAAAAAACCTTTAAACAACTTCTTCTGAATAACCAAAATGCCAAGGGTGATGATATTTGGCCAGTAGCATGCTGAGATGAAGGGCTACAAAGTTTGTTCAAATGAATGACCTTCACCCATATTCAAGGTCACAGGGGTCAAATATGTTAAAAACTTTAAACAACTTCTTCTAAACTTATGTACATAAGTGTGGTTTATGAACTAAGACAAGTCTACCATTTCACACGCAGGCGCAAAGGCAGTTAGGTCAGCTATGGTCAGTTTCAGCCACGTGACACAGTGGTCAAGTACAGTCAGTGATTGGTCAGTTCAGTCACGTGACTCAGTCTTTCTTTGGGTCAGTTTCAGCAGCTGTTTGCAGTAGATTTGTGTGTCTGATTATTTCGTGATTTTTCATTTATTACCTTTCGTGTGCATGAACACATTCTGTAGGAGATATAAGAAATAACTTTTGACTTGGGACGTATGTTTTAAGTGTGGAATATAATAGTTAACAGGTGACACGGAGTTATTTTGGACAGCAGGTTTTGCATCCCGCTCGGAAGCATTCCGCAATGGCGGGAAGAGGTCGAGGAAAACGTCCTTCCAATGACCAAAGTATTCCAGGATACGACATGCATAACCCATCAAATTGGACAGTCGGTATGCTGAGAGAGAAATTGCTAGAACTGGGCTTTTGGACACCTGTTTCAATGTCTAAAGCCACTCTGCGGACACTGTACGTCGAGAACGCTAAGCGTCACCAGCCCACGGAACAGGCCGTGGTTTCACCAACGTCGACAAATAGGCCTACACTCGTTGCACGTAGAGGAAGATCGCGTGTAGATAATGTGTCAATCGAAAATGTGGATTCCGTGTTAGATGAAGAAACTGAAAGTGCATCACAGTCACGTTCAGAAGTTATTAATAGTGGGGCGGAAGTTGGGGCTGTGCGCGCAGCAGTGACGAACAATATGGCGGCGCCCATGTCGCAGAATGACACATTACAACAGTTACAAACAACAATCAACCTACTCCTTCAGAGGGAGCTGAACAGGTCCTCCCAAGCTAGCACGTCAAATCAGCAGCCTCCTACAGAGAGGAACGCGCTAGAGGAGGCCATGGCGAAACTTAATGACACGCCAGGGAGTTCGACATCAAGTGACATGACAGGTGCGTACCCTTTCTATTCTTGTGACGGCGTATCACCAGACCGTTTGCCACCCCTTGATATCGTGTCGGATACGACCCACAAACAAATCGTTTAGGGGAGAGATGCTAATTTGGCAGCATTGCTGATCCCTGAGTACGAAACCGCAAAGGAACGTATCGTGCACACGGAAGGTGTACAGTTTAGCATAAAAACTCCGACAGACCCCAGATTAAGCAAGTGCCTCACCATCAGCGAATTCATAACGGCCTTTTGCAAATATAAACGTATTATGTGCGCAAGACATCCAAACAGGCGCGATGAGTTGGACAGATATGAGGCCAACATCATAAAAATTCACAACCTTTATGGTTCGAAATTCTATGAATACCATAAACTGTTTTCGGCCAGAAGTTCATATGCCTTGCATCACCTAAAATCAAAAGTGAACTGGGCGTTGAAAGACAATAACTTGTTAAGCATGCTCATGGCAGGGGCAAAAACATATGCATGTACTTGTGGGTCCAGTAACCACACACCAGCCTTTTGTCCCGCTCTACTTGAGTCTCACATTGCTCAACCAAAACGGACACATTACACTCAGTCAAACTTTCTACATCATGATACGCCGCATGTTCCCAAGCCATTCTTGTCGAGAGGAAATCAACAAAACTTTGGCCAGCCATCCAGTGATCGTTATGGTAGGTCAAGAGTAACCGTGGAGGGGATGGAGCTATGCAACAACTACAACAATGGCAAATGTAACAGAACTCAGTGCATCTTTGCCCATGCTTGTAAAGTGTGCAAGAATGGTAGCCATCCAGCAGTAACATGTCCATATAAACAAAAATGACTAAATGCTAAAGACATAGATTGGCAAGCCTCAACACCTGTTAATGTTAGACATCTCAGACTAGAGTTGAGCAACCATCCGGATGGGAACTTTGTGGAATATCTATGTACAGGATTAGAGCAGGGTTTCGACACTATGGTTAAGACGGATATAGATCTACAACTAAAGAATGTAAAAATCTTAACTCTGCAAGGAAAGAAGCAAACGCAGTCACAGACCTAATAGAGAAAGAAGTTGAGTAGGGATTTTTAGCGGGACCTTTTCGACAGCTTCCATTCGAACAGTATAGAGTGAGTCCGATCGGATTGGCTACAGGGAAGTACTCTGGTAAGAAAAGACTAATAGTAGATCTGTCTGCACCACATGAGGACAAATACAATCCTAGTGTGAATAGCATGATAGAGAAAGAGGAATGCTCCCTTAGTTATGTCAGGGTAGAGGATGCGGTCAACCTCATTCAGGACATCGGTACTAAGGCAACAATGTGTAAGACTGACATAACAGACGCATTCAAGCTGATTCCAATACACCCCTCTCAGTGGCACCTCTTCTGTGTTAAATGGGAAGAATTGTATTACTTTTACAAACGTTTAGCTTTTGGTTGTCGGTCGAGCCCGAAGATATTCGACACTCTGTCTACAGCAGTGTGTTGGATAGCAGAGAAGAACTATCAAATAGGAAACATTTTACACCTATTGGACGATTTCATAACAATTAACCCGAAATCTGTAGTGGGTAACAACACTATGATGACACTCAAACATATATTCAACGTCTTGAATATTCCCCTGGCAGTACACAAAACAGAAGGCCCTAGCTGTGTTATAGAGTACCTCGGCATAGTGTTAGATTCAAATCGAATGGAAGCGAGATTACCTAAAAACAAACTGGAGAGATTGGTAGAAATGATTATGGAATTTCAAGGTAGGAAATCACTCACAAAACTGGAGCTATTACAACTACTAGGGCACCTTAACTATGCATCGCGGGTGATTCCAATAGGAAAGTCCTTCATTTCCTATTTGATAGCTTTGTCTACAAAAGTTTCATCCATGAGACATCACATCAAGCTGAACCATGACTGTCGAGAAGATCTTAAAATGTGGATATTCTTCTTACAATATTGGAACGGGGTCTCTATATTTCGCAATAAAGCCTTATCACAAGCACCGGATATGGAGTTATATACAGATGCATCTAAAACGATAGAATATGGGGGTTACTTCATGGGAAAGTGGTTCTCGGAAGCATGGCCAGATGCATTGACATCAAAAGACATCAATGGTGAACTTTCAATCGCATTCAAGGAACTATACCCAATTGTAGTAGCGTGTATACTTTGGGGTCATCTGTGGGAAAGGAAACAGGTACTATTCTGGTGTGATAATGAAGGAACAGTTGAAATCTTGAATAAAGGTAGATCTAAAGCTTTGAACATGATGCCTTTAATGAGGAGATTAACGTTATGTGCAGCACAACACCACTTCACAGTGTTGGCAAAATTCGTGCCAGGAGTTCAAAAATCAAATAGCTGATGCCTTGTCTCGTTTGCAGGTGAAACGCTTCCGGAAGCTAGCTCAAAAAGCAGATTTGACACCACACCAAGTTCCCTTGGTGGAGGCAGTGTTCTGGACCACCACAGTGTAGCTCATGGTGTGTGGAGAACATCTGTGGCACCCAGAACTAAGACAGCATATGAGACCGGTTTCAGAACCTACATCAGCTTCCTCCTCCTACAGGGTGTCATAGCAGTGTTAAAACCTCACCAGGCGCCTCCAGTAAGTGAGAACCTTCTCGTGTTATTCGTAGCGTACTGTTATCAGTACTTGCAATTGAGTTACCACACTATCAAGTTATACATCTGTGGTGTTAATGAATGACCTTCAATTATATTCAAGGTCATAGGGGTCAATTGTCTTGAAAAACCTTTAAACAACTTCTTCTGAATAACCAAAATGCCCAGGGTGATGATATTTGGCCAGTAGCATGCTGACATGAAGGGCTACAAAGTTTATTCAAATGAATGACCTTCACCCATATTCAAGGTCACAGGAGTCAAATATGTTAAACAATTTAAACCACTTCTCCTCAATAACCAAAATGCCCAGGGTGATGATATTTGGCCAGTAGCATGCTGAGATGAAGGGCTACAAAGTTTGTTCAAATGAATGACCTTCACCCATATTCAAGGTCACAGGGGTCAAATATGTTAAAAACTTTAAACAACTTCTTCTGAATAACCAAAATGCCCAGGGTGATGATATTTAGTCAGTAGCATACTAGGATCAAGGGCTACCAAGTTTGTTTAAATGTATGACCTTGAATCATATTCAAGGTCACAAGGAGCAAATATGTTCAAAATATTTAAACAACTTGTTCTGAATAACCAAAAGGCTCAGGATGTTGATATTTAGTCAGTAGCATGCTGGGATCAAGGACTACTATGTTTGTTAAAGTGAATGACTTTGACTTATATTCAAGGTCACAGGGGTCAAATTTGTTTAAAATCTTTAATCGACCTCTTCTGAATAACCATGGGTCCCAGGATGTTGATACTTTGCAAGTTGCATCCTGAGATGAAAGGCTATAAAATTTGTTCAACATAATGACTTTGTTCGACTTTCAATCACAGGGGTGAAATGTTTAAAAAAAAATAACAGGTTCTTTTGAATGAATTTTAATCATAAATACTGATATTTTATTTTGCCTGTAGCTTTTTTTTAGATCACTTTTAAGGTTACAAGTGTGAGATTTATACCAGGTGAGCGATGCAGCCCCATTGGGCCTCTTGTTTTATAAAAAGTTTATCAAGCGACGATTTTCTTTTCAAAAACGATTTCCAGTGCATAGTTTCAATGTTTGGCAGTGGTATAGGTATCCTTAAAGGATGACGAGAACGAGCAATGAATGTATGAAGTGTATGGAAATGATGATATAGATTCCCACCACTAGTATTACCTTATCCGCCACTCTATCCACCACTGTCTTGATTTTCTTCACCATGCATTCGTCTGCCTCCTTGACGATCGTGTTTAGGTTGAACTTGTAGCCTTTTCCTGTACCGTTGTTCGACTCAACAGCTCGCTGTATGTCAGAGAACCTCAACATCTCCGGGAGAGGCTTCAACGCCCGACGGACCTGTTCTATGTTGTTTATTGTAATGCATAGCTGTGGAGTGGAATGTTCAATAAGACATGATAGAGTTTTCTTCCATTTCCAATATTATTTCAAACATATTAAAATGGTAAGGGTAAGCCAATTTAATAAAATATCACTTATAAAAACATTTATCGTTAGGACATGAATATTTATCACAAATTATATGATCATATCTTACGAATGATCTATTTCAAAAATTAAAAAAAAAAAATAGAGGTAATTTATACCGAGACTTTCTTTTTAAACATAATTGAATTGGAATAGTTGAATTCTTGAAATCAATTAATAGACTTATTTACTCGAAAAGCATTATAAGTAAAAGCTGAAAACCGACAATTGCAATACAAATGTGAAACACAACAAACGTTACAGATCTAAAAACATGTTGTGTACACCTATCACAATCGTATTTTTCAAAACATTATCGTATAACGATTTCGTAACTGCGAAATTTTAACCCATGAGTAAAAATGGATGTTTTTCAGTAACATGTGTAGTGAAATTATTCCTGGTGACTTAGGGTCGAATAAAGATCTGGAACCTCTGCGTTTTTTTCTCTCTTTTAACAGATGTTGAAATCCTAGCTTGTTTTAGGTACTTTCTGGACTTTGTAAGGGCTAAGCTTAACAATGGTTGTAAATAGTGATGTCTGCCGGTGCTAAAGACTTATGAAAGTCGAGAAATAGCTCAGTTGGCCAGAGAGTTTGACTAGAATTTAAAGGGCCAAGGCTCGAGAATTCCAGTCTGACCAGTTGCATTTTGCCTCTTATTTTGCATACATAAATCCCTAATATCAAGTAACTCACCTGTTCTGTGACATCAAACTGCCCAACCTCGTCATAGTAACCTTCATCTTTTAGTTTCTGGTGTATCATATCAGCGTATGTCACCGCACCTTTGCTAATGTCCTTCAAGGAATAACGTACAACAGATTTTATCAATCTGACATTGATTCCACCATCACGTTAATTATGTTAAACCTAATAATACATATGACTGAACATGTTTCTGAATATGTATTTTCATTTTCCAGGTGAAATAACACTAACAGATTAATTGCTAAGATTTTGTTGCACATGTGAAGTTTAAAATTAATTCTGATTCTTTGCAAGAAAAGCGGTTAAGAAATGTAGTAATGTTGGTGATATTCAATTCAATTTATGCACTTTATCAAAACGACAGTCCATCCTTGAACTGTCTTTCTTCATCCCACACATCTACCAGACGTAATGCCCTTAGTCACACTCGCATAATTACTTCTCACCGAATTCGAAATGCACTAACCCCCTGAGCTATTACACGGAATGGGAAAATGTCTACCGCCTGTGTTTGGAACCCCTCGGGATAACAATCTCATATAAAAGACTAATATAACGTGAGGTAAGACTGATATTCAATCTAACATTTATAGTGTGTCTACCTACCTCTGACAGTTTCTGAACCAATGGAAAAGCATCCAGGAGGTCTGGCCAATTCAACTGCTTCCAAAACTCAGTCATCTGTATAATATCAACACCAATTGGAAATGAAATAACAAATTATTTTTCTTTTGTATCATTAAACGTTAGCTCAGTTTTAAATTACAGCAATAGCATTCAGCCTCACTTGCTGAAAATGAACATGAAGTAGAGACTTGGCCATATGGCAGCGTGTCGATGAGGTCAGCAAAACGACAATGACATCAGTCGTAAGAATCAATAAAATCACGTCGAATACTACGGAATGTGCGGAATTATCATAGAGACAAGTGTCATAGTACAATAAATGAAATATTTCTCGATGCGTATTTACATGTAAAAAGAACTATTTTAGTGCATTTTTACCTTTAAAATGAGCTGTTTTAATGTGTATTCAACTGTAAAAAGACCTGTTTTAATGCTTGTTGACATATGAAAAGAACTGTTTTAAAGTTTATTAACCTGTGAAAAGAACTATTTTAAGGTGTATTTACCTGTGAAAAGCAGCAACACACGTCGACAGCTGAAGTACTGTACTTTGTACCCTCGGTAACCTCAGCTACCTGTTATCAAAAAATAATTTCAATAAATTATTCTGTAGTCTCCTCTATATAATTATACAGTATCCCTGAAAATATTGTAGGTATATGTTCTTAAAAGTAGTTGTTGTACATGGTTTCTAATCCGTCTAGGTAGTTTGTTACACAAGACTATCTTTTTACTTTTCATTTATTACATTGATTAAAATGATTTAAATCATTAATCATCACTATGAAGAAATGCAATGTCAATCTGGTAATAGATAGTCTGCCTTGGTCAAGAGTGTTGTATAAAGGGTCCAGATAGGAGACGTTTGATTTGATGATGCCATATCAACATTTGAAACTTAATCATATCAATATCATGTTATGACAATGATTTAGAACAAATAACTTTTTTTCTCGTTGAAGGAACATTAAGGTAAGTGAGCCTTTTTATGAACATTTTGAAATTACTCCCAAAAATATTGCAGAAAAGTATTAACATATATACATATCATGACCGGTAACACTTTCGATAAGCTTCATGATTTATAATCAAAAGGTTCGATCGTGAAGATTTCGTATATAACTTTAATATTTAATTGACGGAGAAGTAACTCCTGGTTGAAATTATCAGTCTTCTTTGTTTAAGATGCAATAAAAAAAAAACGTTTGGACTCTCCTTCCTTAAGTGGCCCTTGTTGAATACATAACTCACACAAGAGACACTACGTAAATAATACGTTACATTTCAACTGTCCATAAAGAGGTTACATGATCACTGGTGACATTTTAAATAGTGGACATCAATTTTGCTTGACTGTAACCAATTTAACCGGCACTTGGAGGGTTTACATAATATATATGCACTGACCTTGTCGAGTTCCACTGCCTTCGTGATTCTCTGCAGCGATTTCTGTCTAGCAACCTCTATCCAATTTGCCGCGACAAACCGGAACCATTGGTAATATTGCACAATCTGAACATTTCTTTGATCTCTAGAATAAAATTCCAAAAATAAGAACATTACAATTTTGAAATTAAGAAATCTAGATGTGATCTGTTACGCTGTAAGTCGAATATTTTCGAGAGAGCAGGCTTATTAAACAATCCGCTGTCTTTTTCATCCACATAAATCAGTTTATTATACATTATAACTCTCCAAAGCGATCATCTTTGCTTAGAGACCACTTCTGAGCAAGCCTCCCTTGTATGGTCTCTAAAAAAATTAATCAACATTTTGATATATGATTGGAAAATGAAATTTGCACATGATTCAATACTGACTGACGTTTTAATTGAACTATTTCAAGTAAAGTATCTTTTAAAGTCACCGAGCCGCAATCTGTCGGGAAAAGTTTGGATAAAATTGCAGTAACTTAATTCTATAATTACTAAAAGTATATTGTCTTGAACAGATTTAAATTTCATTTATTTATATTTAGGTCAAGTATAAGCGTGCGAAGCTTTTTCCTGGCGGCTACGCTCACCAGAAGCAGGTTTGAGGCCATGTTTACGTTATTAGTTAGTATGCATACGAGAATTTACGAATGTCAAGAAAACAGAATCTAAAGCTTCGCAGTTCATTGAATTAGTTTCAAGACCAACTCAATGCATCACCCCATAAAACCGACCAAAGAAGGAATCAATCCTTAAATGAAATATTATCTTATTTAACATATTATGTTTCATACATCTCAAATAAGCCTTGAACTCTAGTCATTATTAAATCTTCTGCATTTGCATATTAAAGGTTATGACGTCATTCAAACTTTTCAAATTATGAGATTATTGATGAAAAAGCGATAAAGGGAGATAAAGCTACGACATATTACGAATATTTTAGATTAAACTATCATAACTTTTTTTAACGTTTTTAACATTGTTCATTTACGTTGTAACCTGTAAACAGAATGTTGTTGTTATCTCGAACATTATTGGATTAGGTTGATGAATAATTAAAGACTGTGTTTTAGGAGAGTCAGTTTAATCTCATTTGTGCAAAGTTTGAAACACAAATTAAGGTGTTTTTTTGTCAACGGGGCATTTTAGCCAAATGCCAAAAGGCAGCTAGTGCTCGGCTAGCTAACGTCCACTAAATTGGTTTATTACTGTTTTAAAGCCTGTAATAGAACAAAGGACAACTAGGCTCATAAATTATTTCATTAGTTTGTTGAAACTTGTAACCTTAGTAAAGTGTGTAACGAGACATAAGCAAAATTACTTATTTGTCAAATAATTAGACTTCTTAAGGTAATAAATATTGAGAGAAAATATGTTTATCATTTTACATTAAAAGACATTACCCGCTTGGTAAATTTTCACGAAAATTGCAGAATTCTTGCAACGCTAAGTACAGCTCAAACAAACAGGTTCCCATAATAAGGCTTGAACCTCTCGCCGACGATTCTTCCGATCGGTTTTCAACTCTGCTCAGTGTTTGTTTTAGGTCTTTATTGAAATCCTCTCCGAGCTAAAATAAAAGACAAACACTATAATGTCAAGGATACCTTCTAAAGTAATTGGTTCCTTCAAACTGTTCATCAACACGCTCATATTGCTTTTCTTGCAATATGATTACCTCCTTACTCTACTAAAACAAAACTTAATATTCCACCTCCCGTTAAATTGAGAAATGATGTTTGTCATTTATATATACAAAGATAAATTATCTTTGACGAAATTGGTTTAAAATCGTTATTTGACTATCGATGGCCCTACCTTTCCGGAGGGTCAATTTTATCAAGATACAATATACCTTAAATTGAAATTTGTAGTTTTCTTTTAACATTGCTTTATTTCATAAGCCAGCACAATCGTAACAAATGGATGATGTCAAAAGAATAAGAAAACAAAGTAAAAGCTTTTATTAATTCCTGTTACCAAATTTTATCTGTTGTGCAGATATCCTAGAAAATATAAAATGAATGTCTCCTTGATGCAATCATTTACAATAATTACATGTTTAATGCCTAAATTCGTACGGAGTAAGTGGTTTTAATGAAAGACATTTTCAAATCAAAAGTACAATGTGAGTTATGTTGGTATGCAACAGGTTATTTTTAAATAACTTGTCCTCTTACACATAAAGAACGTTCCATTTTGATACTAAGGTATGACTTATTTTTATTAATATACATTATCAAACAGATAATGAGTGATTTATATCTTTCCATTGAATTACATAATTACAATCAATGTTTTAAAGAGGTGAAGCAGTTCAGAAAGCAAATAGTTGAGTTATTTACAGAAAATGTAAAAATAGTTGATATAACTCATGAATTCAGAAATAACAATTGATAGAACGCATTAGAGTGTTGTCACCAATAAAGCTTTAAACATATTTAGCAAGCACAGAGAGACAATAAAATGTGAAAGATTATGCAAGTATATGTGCACGATTTTGGAGGTAAAAAAGTAGTAAATTTGTAGTAAACAATACTGATCGAAAGTGGAAGACGCTAATGAATTTAAATACATATATAATGAAGAAAATATCTATCTGTAGTACAATAATATATAGTTTAGTTAATATTCACAAATCTGCAAATGTAACCCGACAAGGGCTGAAAGAAGGAGGTTTCTGAAATGGCATAATATAGCAAAGCAGGAAGGTGAATAGAACCAGATCATCGGGCTATTCTAAATGCCATTTAGCTTATTTGTGTTATATTACTTTTGCAATTTCAATAATAATGAAATCAATAATATGTCTCATTTTTGATTATCATAATTCAATAACTTGAAAATAATTTGTCTAGTAACAGAAATCCGATATCATAAATACATCTGTAATTTCTGTTATATAAGCAATCTGCAAATAATACGCATTTCTAGCAGTATCGTCCCATTACCACACAATGGATATGCCATATGCTATGTGCTTTGAAAGTAATAAGCCTTCGCTAGTAACACAATGACGATGGTTAAGCTTCTTTTTTTTAAATACAGTTAAAAGAAATTTCATAATTTTTGCTTAGATATGTATATATATATACACTGTTGGAATTACTTCTTTGCCCCATATATATATATATAGTATCTTTAATATGAGCCTTCTCTATTCAGGAAACAGGTAAGAAAAAATCATTCTATACACTAATCAAAAGTGCAATATATAAGTTAACACACATCCAGTAACATTTGTTTGCGCACCACTTGATGTCACTAAACGTGCTGTACCGCTCAATTATTGATATCCAGTGTGACTAATCTATAATGTCCAAACTAATTCTACTTTAAAAGTGAATATTTTAGGAATGCAATACAATAAAAAAGCTTAAAAACATTAGCGTAAGGTTCATGCACAGACCTCTTCCTGTAGGTCTTTGAATACATCAGTTGACAGCTGTGGAACAAGACAATAACAGCTAATTGTTATATATCATTTCAATCTCGTTAATTCATAATGTCATTCTTAGTCATCCCAGAATCTTGCTTTTCGCTTTTAATTATCTTCTTGGAATTTAAATGGTAATGTCAAATGTTTATTTTTTGTTTCAAACACCAGCCTGTTCGGATTAAAGAGGTTCCAAAACATTAATAACAGAAGACAAAACTCACAACAATTAACAATATAGCGACATTCGCTCTGTATCTATTTATTGGTTAAATAATGACTATTAAAGGCGCAACATAGCTTATGTCATAAAACACAGCGCACTCGCCAACTAATCAAATACTTTTTTTAATCATTGTTTTACTTCACGTTAAAATATTCAAATATATTTACGAAAGCAACTTTTCATATCGACGTGGATTGAAAAAATAGGATAACAGTGCAAATATATGTTATGGTACGCTGTGTTTTAGGACTATAGATTAATTATCAAAAGATTTAGTATTGGAATCTAAAATAACGTAAGAAATACAGACAAATACAGATATACACATATTCAAACTGGGAACAACTACCAACATTTACAAGTCAAATGAATGTTTTGAACGTTTATTTCCCTATTTCACTGGTAGGGCAGGTCAGGCTATATTTGTAATTGTTGGTTTAAAAAGAAGATATATTTTACAACTGTACAGCGGAACCCTTATCAACGAAATTCACACACAGTCCACGAACAAACTTATATGTCCATGCATCGGCAGCAAGCATGTTGACACAGAATCAAAACAGCACAGAGCAGTATGATCGGACGTTCAAAAATCAAACAAACAGAACACAAATGAAATCTGTTCAATGGTTTCTAAACGCATTTATTGCTTGGATTCAAGGGAAAGAAGTGGATATTATTCGTTCTAAATTTCATAATTTTTGCAATAATATATTTGAACATTAAAAAGTATTATAAACTGATCAGTTCAAAAAGTGTCTCCTGTTATTATTTGTCGTTATGGCAGGTTATAGTGTGATGCTATTATTATCTGGATCAAACATAATTGAATACTTTCAGAAATGTCGTTGCTTAAAATTCACAAAACGATGATATCTAGACATTATCGTACGTTTATGAGGTACTTATCACGCTGTCACATCCTGAGTAAGATGGAAATACTGATAGTACGCTTGCACTCTCTGATATGAATTACACAAAATTAAATTACTTAAACATAACCTTTTGAGTAGATAGATTTAATAACGGTTATTATATGAGTATTATTTTATTTCATGGAACAGAAAACTGTTAAAGTTTAAAAACAAAAAGAAATACCGTTTTAACACCAAAGGATTCAGGCTTTCGATTTATCAGAACAAAAGGGCGTTATATATACATTGTATCACTATATCCTACTGACATCAACATGCATGGTGGAAGCGAGACTTACCCATTTCTCCAGCTGGCGATATGTGGTGGCGCAGTAGTGTACTTTGAAAATTCTGAAAATCATCAATCATTCAGATCTTTTTAAATTGATATTGATATACATGTAAACAACAACTTCAAAAGAAAATAACATAAATTCCAATTCATGTTTATGTATATGAAATGTATGAAATGATTCAATGCGCTATAACAGGTCAAAGTCATACCTCTGCCAAAGTGATGAATAAACTCAAGAGAGGTCAGTAATTGTATTACTTGAAATACGTCAGAAGTAACATCAACTAATCAGATATCTTAATGTTACAATTTCCAGGGGTTTGACAAATCTATCTTGAATACTTAAGTAATATCTACTAAATAAAACAGCCTCTATGATGGGTTTTTGCATAAAGCGAACATTATATAATTCCAAGAAAACCAATCTTCTAATGATTAGTCATACGTGTTACAAAAGATAAGGTTTAATGGGCAGTGACATGTTGTTGTTGTGACGACAGTAGGTAATTAGACATAGAGAATAGATTAACACAGATACCATTCCACCGTTCCTTTCAACAGCAATGGACAAATACCCTCATGTAACACACAAAGTGTCCAAAAGGCATTATTTCAAAAGTAATGGACATATGCAATGTACCGTTAATGGTGTAATCATTGATAGGCGCTGCTCTCTCTCATTACATATAAATGGCAAACTAGACCTATTTGAGAAAAGCAGCGGCTGAAACTCGATAAATGTTTACATTCATTGAAAGCAGGAATACACGCAAAGTTTCCCTCAATAATAAATCCAGAAACAAGACTGTCTATAATATTATATTCGAAAAAATTGCATTGAAATAAAATACGGCGATAAAACCTTATGATATATATCTATTATAAATCATGAACAATACCATTTCCGGATATCCAGACTGGCTTGGTTTTATTATTACTGACTTATGTTACCATACTATATTTTCTAATGTAATAACATCATTTTAGTTAAGAAGGAACGTGAAACAGAAAGGACATTTTAATGGTCATGATTATACTACATACTTAAAATACCCATTTACATTTACTCAGCCTTTACTGGTCTACTGGATTACCGAATGAAAGCATCAGTTGTCATGGGAACCGTGTATTTAAAAGACAAGAAGCCAAAGGTACCCGTATGGATTACTTGTTATTCAATATTCCCTCAAGTTCATTAGCTCTTCCCTTTCAACACTGCTACCATCTTTATACATGCCTTCTGGGTAGACTAAGAAATCAGCTAGTTGGCACATGAGAGGTTAAAATAGTTTATGCAGTCAGGTTTCAGAACGCCATCTTGTATTTTGAATCCATTCAAAAAAGTCTATTACTTTGTCAAGTTTGGTTATAATTATCCTCGTGAAACTAGAGAAAATATGTCGAAACTAATAAAAGGACAGGTCTTTTGAACATCTTTTGCTCCTTTCTACGATATGATTATATGGTTGAAATTACCAAGTGGAAAAACGTTTTGTCTCCATCTTTATTTTTCCTCCTAGTGCAATCCCTCTGTCAAAGGGGGGTCACTACTTTCATGTTTCCCTTAGTCCAAGAATGATTCATACCAAAGTGTCGCAAGGGGAAGCCATATCCTTTTATACGAACTTGAATCCTCATAGATACGCTATCTCAAATCTAATCCCAAATAACTGCATCCATTCTGAGCTGGTAATCTTTAAAATCCAACTTTTACGGCTTACAACGGATTGGGGAACGGACGGCGGACGCCGAATCACGGCGTACTGTCACTGGTTATTTCGGGTCAGTTGAGAAAAAAACACGTCATAAAAAAGCATATCACAATGACAGAAAACAAATTGTATGCCTACTGTTCATAAAGCAGGTTGTAGGTGGACAAAGCGGATATCAAATCAGCGTTCAGGTGATTTGTTAGTTCTATTAACCTCTGTATCACATCCTCTTCGTGGTCAGATGACTGAAAAAGGGAATGTAGAAGTCATGTTATTATAAAAATATAAGTTTTGTATTGCCTGAAATGCAGCTTAACTATGTTTACTTTCACTTATTCGTTGTTTTTTCCAGTGATTTGCTTAACGCATAACGTCTACGCAACAAAATAAAGGCCATACGTGATCAAACAGTTAGATGGTGTTTGACAGTAGAAATGTGACAACATGATTTACGACTTCTAAAAAGTATGAAATGTATTATAGTTTAGTGATTTGAAGGGCTTGTCAGATGGAAAAAGTGTGCTTTAATGTGTGTTAATTTGATGAGGGATATCATGATTTGGACAGAAAATATCTAGGTTTGCAGAACACTGGGCTTCGCTTAAGGTATCTCCATTTATGTTGAGGTTCACTTCATCGCTTCTGTTGGGGTTCACACCTCCGTTTATGTTGGGCTTACGCCCCGTTTATGTTGGGGTTCACACCTCCGTTTATGTTGGGGTTCACACCTCCGTTTATGTTGGGGTTCACACCTCCGTTTATGTTGGGGGGCACACCTCCGTTTATGTTGGGGTTCACGCTTCCGTTTATGTTGGGGTTCACACCTCCGTTTATGTTGGGGTTCACACCTCCGTTTATGTTGGGGTTCACACCTCCGCTTATGAAGGCATTTACGCCTTTGCTGATGCCTGGGTTTAAATCTCCACCTTTGTTGGGGTTCACACCTCCGATTTGGTGCAGCTCACACTCTGTTAATGCAAAAATTCACGTATCCGCTTATGTTTGGGTACACACATCTGCTTTTGTTGGGATTCACGCCTCCACTTTTTTCAGGTAAGCACTTTCACTTTCGTTAGGGTTCGCACTTCCACGTTTGTTCGAGTTCACATCCATGCTTTTATTGACGTTCATGTCTCCGCTTATATTGGCGTTCACGCCTACACTTATGTTGGGGCTACATCTCCGCTTATGCTGGGGTTCACTTCTCCTCTTATGTTGGAAACATGCTTCCGCTAATGTTGGTGTTCACACATCCCCTTATTGTTTATATATGTTGTTACGTCTCTTTTAAATGGCGATCCTTTTTTCTTGTGTTGCAGCTGCTGTTTGATTAATTTTCTATTTCAATTTCCCTTTGGCCACTCGACCTACCATTGTTTTTAAATAACGCTAAATTATTTTTCTATTATTTTGTATAAGCGATAATTAAATGCTTTCTTCACATGACATGACGTACCTTTGAGTTTGAATGTCTCAGGTGACTTATTCTGTCATACCACTCTTGAGTGCCTCTCTGGAAGTTAATCAATATCAATACTGTATAAACGCATTATTGTAAAGCACTTTTTTGGGTTTTTATTTCATAGACTATGTCAGTATGTTTCATAAGTGAAAACTCGAATTTGCGATTGTGGGGATGCTATTTTAACATAATAGTTATTACTGGTGAAATTTATATTTGCGGAATGAGACTTGTCACCAAACAATTCGAAAACCTTTCTCTCTTCATAATAAGGTGAAAAATACATTTGAAACAGCAGATTCCACATTTGATGTTTTTCACATGTTATTGTGAAAGCCAAAATGCACGAGGGCAAAATCTCAAAATCATAATATGATTGTATTTGACAAAATACCTCTTTAATTAAACAGTTTAATTTATCAGAGCCAATAATCTTTAGTGAGATACCTTTATTGCGACCTTGACCTCTGGATGAAGTTCCTTTTCAAACGGGCAAACCCGTCTGAACACATCCATACTGTACACGGTTGCCAGGCATCTGTCATAATAACTTTGACGTCAATCATACGTCATACATTCTTGTCATGCGCCACGATACTAAGTAGTTATGAGATAGGTTGAACCCTTTTTTAAATGCACGTTTTGTAAATTTCATCACTATTCAGTGGTTTGAAAGGGAAGACATGCACGACCTAACGAACAATCGAGATGATGTTATACTATTCTCGCTTTCTCCTGGAGAGGATTGTTTGGCTGTTTACCATAACTTCTGAATAGAATAGATATATAATTTCGCTAAACTTGCTGCAGTGTACCATGATGATACACATAATCTCTAAGAAAGAATGCTTTTGAATAATTCTTCTATCTTAACATTAAAACATATATGATCTGGGATTCAACCTCATCACTTTCAGATAATTAAAAGGAAGAAATTAATTATTTGATAATTGCTTTTCAGCTTATGAAGCTCGATGGACTGACCCGAAGTCGTTACAAGTAAAAACAAAATTTGAAGCGTTTCGTGATTATCTTATAATATATAATTCGCCTGTTTTGATTATTCAATACGGTTTATTGAAGCGGAAGTATTTCAAATGAATGTCGTTCGTTATCTCTACTCACTGCATCATGGCTTCTAGGCGACAGATGCTTTGTTTGCCGGATGTCGGGAATACTTCTCGTTGTTTACTAAGCAGACTAAGGCAGTATTGATTGAAATGTTTGAAGGATTCTGCGAGACATTCTTCCTGAAAGGTTCAAAATAATTAACACAGAGTTATTTTTGAAACAACATCATTAACGTGATTTGGAATACTGATCAAGCATGATTCAACTCATATTTTATGTTTTCTTCATGATAACATCACATGACATCTTTGTAACAGCGATAACGAGATGATCAGAGCACGTTACATTAGAAAAATACAAGCAATGGTTCTGTGTCTTCAGAAATTGGTATCCACTCTAGAGAAACGCAAATAACAATGCATATAAAAATCATGATTTTTTCTGATCGATAATCTGTTAAATTATGAATTATTGCATATGATTGTAAATCAAGTAAGTCCAGACTCTTTAAACTTGCCACATTTACTGGATTAATCAGACATTTTCAGATAGACCAAGGGAAATATGTTCCTCAAATCTCTGGCTGTATAGCGAGACAACTGGATTAGGGCTGGCTAAATTAGCCAAGGTTTGTCTAATCTGACATACGACCAAACCTGCGCTAATGAAATATGGATTCAAATAGCACAAGGGAAATATGTTTCACAAACACTGGCTTGAAAGTAGGACAACCAGATAAGTTGTTGCTGTACTAGCGAGTCCTGTTTAACATTTCGTATAGAAAAAAGGTAAATGTCTGTTAATGTCGTCATTAACGGTATCGCGTTGTGAGAATTAAAAAAAAAACTTTTTTTAATATAACAAAAGGTCACATCGTTGTTTTACCAAAATACTATTTATTCAAACACCTTTTGATAAAAAGTATGTATTGATTTTTTTCCAAATCCAGAAAATCAATATGAATATTGTAGAATTGATTGATCATGTGATATCGAACTCCATACAATTTGTAATGACAATTATCTCAATCTGCTGATTGTTAAAACTATCGACACAACACACCTCTTCTCTGGAGAATGAATCTGGTGACCATAGCCGATCAAGCTCTCCAAGCAGCTTTAGAAGAACTCGGTAGTCGAAGTGGTGCTCCATGTGTTTCCGGCTGTATGCAATCCATTTACTACAAAACACAAAGACTTACATTCGAGCCCAATCACCGTTTACAATACCACAATCATCTTAAGATGAATACGTCATAACGCTACATGATGAATGCATTAGATTAGAAATTTTGACTAACGATAGAACGAAAACGTCTTCTCACCTCCATGCTTTTCCCAAATCAAATATAACGGTTTCCAGGACCAAATATGAAAAGACAACACTCTGAACACATTCATCAATTAAGTACCCTCTAATTTGCCAGTGGTGATGAAATAAGAAAAGTTGATAGTTTCGTATATAAACCATATGAAAGAATTCATCTCCGACGAGTTGATCCATAACAGATACATAACCATGTCATGGTTTCTTTTTTGTTAAAAAGGAAAAAAATCCTAGAAAGACACATAACATCAACTTACAGCGATAATTTGTCAAGTGATTGTATTCGACAAGTATGCCGTGTAATGGTATTTTATGCTTACCACATTGCCTGCTGGCCATCTGTGACGTCACCCTGAATCGCATGCTGATGGAGGATAGTCATAGCTGCTTTTGGCAAGTCGCCCCTCCATTTTGATGGAGAGTCCTGAAAAAATAATAAAAAGACGTTACGAACATTTTTTCTTTCTCTCTGTTATCCATATACTTATCCATATATTTCTCAAGATTAACCAAATAAACAGATTTGATTAAGAACATAACGTACGTCCATTTTCCTGACTTCATGTTGCACGAACACGGATATAAGATGCTCATGCTGACGCACGTCTGTCCAGTTGTCGTCCTCCCCGATCCCGCGGTCCTCTCGCGTGGCGAGACTTAGCTTTAGCTTGATTTCTCCCTGTATATTGGACCGGGCTGTTCTGCCTTCCAGTGGGAACCACGTCTCCTGTCCTGTTGACGGGATGTTCTGCGAATTCATGTTAAACATTTCAAGCTGAAATCGTCTCATAGTAAGTATGTTTGATAATAAATTACACACAACTATTTTCCCTTTATTTCCTAAAAGTAGTTTAGACTGATATTATGTATGCCTGTGCGTACGATGATTTTTCGAAAAGGCTTTGATCATGTGAAGAATAAAACAATGGTTGAGTCATTTTTATCATACTAATGAAAATAATGCAAGCAGGTTCGGTATCGTGCTATTTCATAGCAGGTGCGCTATTTGAAATAACTAGAATATTGGTAGTTAAAACTGAAAGAATTCCTATGCACGACAGTAAAATAAATATGATGTGTCATAGTCATAAAGCTATAGTCATTCCACAAAAAAAAACCAGGTTCAAATGCTACAGCTTATGTCAATGGTACGGGGGTCCCTAACCTAGTATCGTGAAAACCGATATTATTTGTTACCGATCCAGGGCGTCATCATTGCCACCCGTCGTCACATGACTTAAATGCATAACAATGATTGTAAACAGATAACACTAACTTGAAGTGGTATGGTGACACAGCCCAAGAAGTCATCCACGCTGCCACTGCTCTTCGACGTCCTCGCTGACTGGGCCACTTGTTTGAAGTACCGACCCAGCCCCGTGAAACCTTTGACTTCATTGAGTTTCTTGGCTGCTTCAATCACGGAGAATTCATCGTCGTGATCCCTGATGGAGGAAGTGGTAAATAATACAACATTACAGGGATAAATCGAGACCAAATGAAGTAAAACATATATGAATATATTCGTGATATAAGCTGTGTTGGAATAATAGGCTGCATTGTGAAAACACGACCAATAAACAAATTTAAGTAAGAACGAGTTTATAGATTATCATATTTTTTTTATCTAATCTATTATGAAGCAAGTTTAAACCAATGTTGTATTTCCGAACAGAATTGACCTGAAATGCAAAAATGATAGACGGACGATGTATATAATAGATGTGAGTCCCTTGTATAACAGTTTATCTTTACTTTTTGGCATAAACCTCTTTGTGCGAATTCACTCTCGATTTATTCGCGAGAATTCGAAACTTTGCACGACAGTTTATGTAATGTGAATTATAAGTGATATAATCCACATTCTAACCTATGTATGTTGTTACGACATTTTCCATTAGTCAGTCTCCGTATTATCTGAAATCCCACGCACGTGTAATAATTACATGTTGTTGCCATGACTCCCTGTGTTTAAACGTTAAGAATGATCGCAAATGTCTAGGAATCTTTAGACGCTGATTACAGTTGATTTACGTTTCGATTTTTACCTTGCAGATGTTTGTTTTTATGTTTTAGTGTATAATTATGATGTCTGCTGCGATATCAAATTACGTCTCAAATAGAGAGACCAAGTACCTTCACACAAGCCTGTTTCACATCCAACGGATTTGCTGGTGTCTTTATTATAGTACTTTTACTTATAAATGCGTTACTTTGATGAAGAAACATGCGACATAGTTTTATTGTTTTAATTGTTAATTTTTAATATCGTTTCCACAGCCGTCTATTGAAATGTACACAGCATAGCACAAGACCATCTTAACATGTTCGAAAGCACTCCGTGGTGAAAGCGTTTTTTGGACAAATGTATGAAAATAATTTGATATTGAAAAAACAAAATTAATTTATTATCAATATGATTGTTTTATGGTGGAATAAATCGCTCGAACACTTAAACTGTTGCCAAAATAACGAAGTCATCCGCCGATCTATACTCTGTCATTTACTCAAACCAAGTTTTATCTCAACCTCCTTGCAATACACTCCAATATATATAATAAACTTGTGATAGGTAAACTCTGAATTAAGCTGAATATGATGGATATCTTATAGGAAATCCTGGTGGGGTAGACAGTTAGCAAATGACTCAAAATTCAATTTGCTATTACAGGGCTCACTCGGTGGCGCACAAGTAATCGCAGGTGATAACATGTGTTACTGATAGTGTTCTTGTCGTGAATATCCATGTTTTCATTAAATTCACATGATTTACAAAGCTAAGACGTAGATCTCAGAATGGCAGATTACATTAGTCATGTTGGTGAATCGATATTTAGAAAATGATTAAAGTATTGAATCAATACAGGGTCAGTTGCAAGGAATCAACTGGTGTTTAAGCAACAAGAGAGAGGTTTAAAAGAGGATTAGGGACGTTCGTAATACATCGTCTTAATATTGATGATTCAAGATTGCTCTACTACTTTTACCACTAAGGCAACACTCCATAGATCATATCTAGCAATTATTTTTTAAATGAGAATAAGAAAACTACATGGATGCATTCCTTTAAGATTCAAACTAAACCATACACGCACGTGTTTAAATGTTTCAGCGAATTTAACTAAGTTTAAAGAATTAAATATTGCTCATACAACTCTGAAGTTGATGCGTTTTGGTTTTAATGTTGACTTAAAGTGTTATATATATTTTTCTAACTATAATTACGAGGTACCAATTTCGTAATATGATTATGACAGTTACTTCAACTAAACGCTTTAATGTGTTTTCTAGTCTGTAAGTTTAAGCGTGAACAATTTATTCTTATGCCAAAACGAATCAGCAAAGACGTCACCTTTCCTGTGGAAACACGTCATGATATGTTTTAACAGAGGGCTTAGTAAGTGTCACATTTATGTACAAAGACAATAATATAGCTGAAGTCTCCAGAGCACTAGATTAGTAAACCATCAGGGATGTATCTTCCAATATAATCCTGATGACCCTTTCGGGGGATAAGTTCAATAAGATCTAAACCTAACGCGACCACTACATCGAAGTGTGTATGTAATACCGTCATACCATTCCCGAAAGACTGATCATCCTATCCTACCTTAAAACGTTATGAGACAAGAAAGTATTATTTATATTTTGAATACATAACAAAATCATTACGTGCGGCAGTCAAAGCGATCACCAACAGCATAAACTTAAGTAGTGTCCATGCCAACATTTTGTGAAGCCGAAAGCATCGCAACCCGATGTAAAACAGGTCTATAAGCTGTTACTGCTTTCAATATCAAGGCTCTATTCTACCTTTACACGTATCGATTCGCCCATGGGTGTAGCGTATGTGTTAAATTCTCAAGGCCATGGCGGCTAGAAAAAGAGAGGCTTTGTACGGACCTCTCTTGCTGTGTTTTCGAGCGCCACGTCGACTTCAATAGCCACAAAGTCATCATCATTACAGACTGGAGGGTCCAGTAGTCTATAAATGTCCACCCTTCGCTCATTTTGTCCCCTCGTGACATTTCCCTGACGCCTCCGGAGACAATCAACCGGTAATCGGACAACTTATTACCTCCTGGATTTTCTGGACCTTACACAAATTGTAATATCCGTTTTTTACGGTAATTAACGTATTCACATTTACAGTTTTTCTTCTTTTTTAATTTCCAAAAAAAAGAAGACCCGAATCGATCAAGCAATGAAAAGACATGTATAAAATAAGGGAATAAAATAGCAATGGGGTAAAATCAATTTACTTAGATTGATGATGCTTTGGAAATGTGAAGTTGAAGTTTAATAATTAATCATTTCAACAAGAAGAAAATAGCATTACCATTGAATGAAATATTGCTTTGATAATGTTTTTAAGAACTCTTTAATTTTCATTCAATATTAATTTTCAAGTGTATCTTTAAAGTCTTGATATGGGCGTTTGTGCATTTAACCGGAACTCCTTCTAATTTTCAACAGACAGGTAGAAATTACGCAATAAGAATATTGTTGAGTCGAATTTATTTAATGGGCTATAAAGTAATGTAGTAAGTATGACTTAATATGATAGATTTAGAAAAATAAGGTGAATTGCATGCATTTTTCATGATTACTGCGGTGTAAGTACCGGCATAAAATCACGGATTCGTTAAAGCTATTATTCGATTACGAGACCGATAATTATGCTAACACGGTTATACGCCTGTACCGTTAGCCCCTGTGTGAGGAAGTGTGTCCCACGTAAGGTATTAGAGGAGGTGTCTCATCAACACTATGGCAGTGAGAACAAGAGCCACTAGCAATCATCGACATTGTCATACATCACTCACATAAAATTGTCGCCTTTGTGACACAATCGTAGGTGGCAATCTCAGACACGAAACCAGCACGAAATAAACACTTTACCAGCACGTTCTATATATAGCTAAACAAAAAAGGCAAAGATACAGAATTTTTTGTTTGTAAGCTCCTTTTCTTTTCTCACAAATAGATGTGATTCACAGCACTTGTTCAGTTTTGCATTGTTTTCAAAAGATAAGAAGTTAAAAAGAAATTAGAAAAGTTGTGAGATAGAAAATATGAATGTGTCAAAAAATATAAAATTAGACAACCGAGACCACCATTGAAAAAAAATAAAGGAGAATAAAACTAAGGGTTCCGGAATGGTAAACGTTTTTATTTTTGTCTTCACCGACTTCTGTCGCTTTATCAGTTTAGGTCAAATCCAAGTGAAGTCGCGTCATCAAATTATCAGTTTTTATACCCTGGGATAATGAAGTGTAGTTATATTTTATGTTACGAGAAACTTGCACATTGAGTTTTGAACATGAACTCCTATCTATGCAAAAACAAGTACAGAAGAATGAGATTGAGTGCAAAATAGAAGTGCTCTATAGTCAAAGGTTTTACGTATTCTTGCAGAAATTTGAAAATATTGCTATCTTAATAATTGTTTCGCAGCACTTTAGTGAGATACTGTAAATGAACGTACTAAAATACGTATAACTGATGTTTATCAATAAGTAACAGTGGTGTTTCATGAATTAGTTAAGGGTTTTTCATGATAAATTTTATCTGAGATACATTCTTAAAGAATTCAACGATTGAAACAAAAATTAGTGGACTTCATGACTTTTTTATGTGAAATTTAACATTCAAACAAGAATGAACAAAAGCAGTCATTCAAGTGACAATTCCTGTGCATCCAGGATAATTAGAAGTACACGTAAACCAGGTCAGTCACATGAACAGCCTCTAATGAGATTGAAACTTTCGTGTCTTTAGGAAATCTTCTGTAATTAGTGCAACTGCAAAACGTCTCACTTTGCAGCCTTCTTTTGGATATCCATCACATGACATTTCTTTCAGCGGGTCACGAGTACCAAAGCATTACAGGGTATGTGGTACACGGACAGCTGTAAACGGATGAAAACTAATATCCTATTTAGAGCTTGTTACTGTAACCACCTAACTGAACCATGTCATAAATGTTAATGAGTACATCGACCTAATATTTAATTTTTCACTTTAACATCACACTTGCAATCCGTTTCTTTGTCCAACCGATAACTGTCAACTATTTACCTAAGAGTGGCATTAATTTCTTTAGACAATAATAATAATAATAACAATATACAACATTTATATAGCGCCCTATATAATTTGTAAAATTACTCTAAGGCGCTTTACAACAAATGGATAATAGTAATGGTTATAATTGTGAAAACAAACAACAAAGGCTTGCAATCACTTTCATACATTTAACAAGCAACGTGCACATAATTGAACAAATAAAAGGGTGGTATTTACATGACGTCTTTGCAAAGATTCTAAAATGCAGACGTGAAGAGGTGAGTTTTTATGTCCCTCTTGAACTTGGCCAGGGTATTTGACTTCCTAATAGCAGATGGTAAGCTATTCCACAACGTAGCCGAAACCATCCCAAAGCATCTGTTTCCGTAGGTCACAGTACGAGATTTTGGGACACACAACAAAGATTCTGACTCCGACCGCAGTGATCTTGACGGCTGATACAGGGTAACAAGCTCCTGTAGGTACTGAGGAGCTGTTCCATTCAGTGTCTTGTATGTGTATACCAGAATTTTGTACTGCTACCTGTATCGCACAGGTAACCAGTGCAACGAATAAAGCGCAGGTGTGATGTGCTCTCTCTTTCAAATACGAGTAACTAGCCGTGCTGAAGTGTTAAGCACCCTCTGCAGACGACTAGTTAGTTTGTCAGATAAACCACAGAGCAGGGCGTTACCATAATCCAACCGAGAGGTAACAAGTGAATGCACCAAAATTTTGCATGCCTCTGCAGTTAGAAACTGCCGAATACACCCGATGTTCCTGATCTGGTAGTAACATGATTTGGCAATTCGGTCACTGTCAGCTTTTTACTTCAAATTGCCAATCATTTAATAAGCCAATCCAATCAATGTTGACGCTCTGGTATATGTTTTATTGTTTATTCCATTGCATAATTGGAAAAACAAATCTTTCCTATGTCAAGTTGAAATTATTCGAAGAATTTCTATTGAGTGCTGTAATAAGTCTTGTATCATTACCCTGTGATCTATGTTTTCACCGAAGTACCTATCACATACACTGTGACCAGATTCTTTAGCACGTAGATATTGCGTATTACATTTTGCAATGTCAACTTCCTCGTACGAGACGCAATCAGTATTTTCAACTGGTTGTGACCGCATTAAAAAATAGAAGCTGACACTGATCCCGTGCAAGTTTTAGTATTAGTTTCTATTTTACAACGTTGTACAAATTAGCATTTTTGCAAGGAACAGTTTACGTTGTACGGAATAATCCAACAAAGATTGAGGCATTAGGGATTAAACATTTAATTACATCATCTGTAAAAATTTTTGATAATTATTGTAACAATGACTTTGAAACTCACCATATATCCAAATGAAGTCGATCTGTGTGAGCCTCTTCCAAATCGCTGCAAAACAAAACAAAAAAGTCAAAAGAAAATTTAATCATTCCGAAGATAAATCATTTCTTGGTCTCTTGCAGAATATAATTAATTAGATCGCATGCTTTGGTAAGCCTAGGACTGTCTGTAAAATAAGTTACGCTGAATCAAACAAGATCGATATTCTGATAGAAGGCTATTAACAAGTAATCACCTAGCTAGTTTCAATATCAATCGATATTTAATTAAAGACGTTAGCCTCTTTATTACAAGGTACGTAACGCGTATCCAAGCTCAGGACTAAGATGCACAATTCTCGTTAATAGTTTGAAAAAAAGATCATTTCATGTGCAAACCATATAAGATATGTCACATTTTCTTTGGTCGAACACGAAATTACAAATTTTTATATGTTGAATATTTTGTGTTATTTCGATGTGTATTTCGAAGAATTGCAACCCAGATTCTGTCCTTCGCTTTTGTTTTGCGTGTCCGTTACTGCTTAAACTATGCCTGTAGGTTTTATTCGCAAATACTTCAATTCGCAATTGCCAGGCTGTGTAAATTTCAGCCAACAAGAGGCATAACTTTTAACTCCAAAACATTTAAGTATGATGTGTTATTGAGCATAACTATAAAGGCATCTATAATTTGGTTCTTTGTAAAAAAAACATTGTTACTGAAGTAAAAAAGAAAAACAAGTGACACCTGCTTCTAAAAGAGTTTTCAGAATACTCTAAAAACCGTTCCGAAACAAACCCATTTAATAATTTTGCCATTATCGTAAAACTAGTTTTGATGTAAAGATGTAAAAACGTAGGCATACTATCTTTAAGTAGGCGTTCGGCTGTGGTTGCGTCTATTTGTGATGAAGCATAACATTGACAAAACCATTTATATCTATCCTTGTATTGATTTCACTAACCTAATTAATCCTGATGATAATCTGATATCTCTACCGCGAACTCTGTGGTAATTAAATGCACTAATTAAACACAGGGAAGTTTTTCCCTGTTTCAATTAAAGATGAAAAACTTGATAAGGCGGCGACCTTTATTCTTCGAACAGCAATAACGTTTTTGCTAGTAGTTTTTTTATATAGAATTACCCATGCACTATAAATTCATCACATGAACGTCCGTGAAGGAACGCGTGTAATGACGCTTTGGGGTGTTTTGATTCAGCAGAACTAATTTTGTTGAGGTTGTGACGTCATTACTTAATGTGATGTATACTGAAAAACCGGAACTAATTGTTGGTAAGTATAAATGTTTTCTCCAGTAGGTACCTTCTGATGCATCGTCACAAAGAGTTTTTATTTGTCACTCGAAATTCTATACACCAAATTTTACCACATAACTTGTCATTGCATCACATGAGTATTGTTATTATTAAGTCATAAATAAAACTTATATTTGACCAATTATTCCTACCGTAATGCTATTTTTAAAAGTGGTTCTAAACACAACTTACAGCGTTGTGTCAATGGTACTTTACTTACAATCGGAACCTCTCATTCCACACTGGGTTTAGTGTGTTCTGAACAACATTAGTACTCCGAATGTATTTAGCCGGAATGACGTCACGAGCAGATTTGTCTCGTTTCTTCTTACTTCCGGGCATCGAAAGCTTTCTACTGATGCTTCCTTTTTTCTCTTTAGTCTTTGTTTGCTCGTCTTCGTCTGAGAAAACATCACCGTCTGCAAGTCGTCCTGGCCATATACCCAACATACAATATGGGTCACTGAATCCTATAAAAAAATTGCACTCCGTCATCATCAACATCATCATCATCATCATCATCAGCATCATCATCATCATCATCATCATCNCATCATCATAATACATCATCATCATCATCATCATTGTTTGTATTGTGTATGATTTGAAAAGGCGCAAATATGTATAGTCTAAGACTAAGGCTAACAGTGCACGTGTTTTAACTATATACTGATAAAAGATGATGATGTAAAAATCACAATTCGAGCTTTATCTGTCCTAGAGCATGTAAGATATTAACTGCTGATAAAAAGTCGATAATGTTTAAAAGAAACATTCCTTGTACATCTTATTAAAGGTTATACACATGTAAAATAAAATGAAATCTAAGGATTACTGGAGAGAAGTGTTAAAATAAAGCATGTATTTAGTAATTTTTCACTGCTAACCCAGTAGTTCGGCCTAATCCTTAACTCGGTAAATCAAGTTTTCGTGTCTTGCAGATTCACAGAGTCGACTCAGTGACTTTCTAATAACGCTTCATTTGTACAAAATAATAATTCCAGACAGTGTCACATGGAAAAAGTAGGTACACAACTTGTATGTATACGCCGTAAGAGAAACCGGAAGGTAAAACACAATAGAAAATGAAAAGACAGCGGTCCAAGGTATCTAAATAGGGGCCGTATGTTAAACAGAGGACACAAAAAACATGCTTAAATATCGACTCCGTAGGGATCCTCATTAGTCGCCTCATACGATACATTTGTATATGTATCATCTATTCCTTGTCCAGTTTGCATGTTAGATGAACACGATCCTAGTTTATCAGCTTGTTCTGAGACATTAAATTATATTTTTTGAAATTGATTGTTTCGTTTCATTTGAGGGAATAACCGTACGATAATATATTGAGATTTATAAGGACAATCGTATTAACTTTGTATACAATTCTTGGTATGCACCCACATCGGCGAAAGCTGTCTGTTTGATGATAGCTCTTTATAATTCATGGTTTGTGTTCCATTTATTGAGAACAAATGATATCTGTTAAAGTGACCCTTCTTTGGCTTTATACTAATGAAACCTGGTAAGACCATGTCCTTATAAGTGTATATAAAGCTATAGCTTAGGTGTAGAAGGACCCAACGAACATGCCCGTATCCTCTTGTAACCCTGTGATGTACCACAAAACGCTATCGAAAGCAATTACATTACAAAATGAGCTGGTTGTAAAAGGCTTTTGCAGATAGCATATTACAGACATAAGGTGTATTTGGCAAAATCTTCAACTGCCGTCATTGATCATTTTCAAAGCACGTATGAGACGTGTAAGCTATCATCAGCAATATCTGCGTCTATAAAAATGACAGCAATGGTTTAAGAAAGAACTATTTTACAAAAGCAATTAGTCAGGCTGGCCGTTGGTGAAGGAAGTGATATGAAGGAGTGAGAGAGACCCGGTAACGGAAACGACATGTACTGAGGAACAGCTTAAGTGTGACCCTCTCGGAAATGTCAAACGCTTCAGATTGATTTAATTTGTGATAAGTTAAGAATAGAAAAATAAGTTCACGCGAACATTCTATTAAATTGCTAGGCTTGGAGCATGTGAGCAGGTGCTACATGTTCGAGATAATTCAAATTAAAATAGATCTAAATCCAAGGACACATACAGTTGTTTAGTGAGAATGGTTTTGAAAATGTTTAAGTGAATCTGTGAAGCCCGTGCCACTATTACACTAAGTTTAACTCACACTTTGCCATTCTATTTAAAAACTTTTTAATGCGTTTCTGCGTTTGTTCGTTCATTGAAGTTATGGGATCTATATATACTGCGTGACGGATGTCAGATACGGTAGAGAAAATGATTGCTAAAACACCGAGTGTTATAATCATAAGTATTCTAAATCATACCACTTGCACCTTTCTAAAATAAAAAAAATATCCCAAAAGTACAGTGAGTGAATATACCTGATGGAAAATAAACGTTTGTATTTGCGTATGAGTTCACTTTGCAATATCAATTTGTTCATGTTAATTTTGATGGATTTGAGTAGAATATATTGCGAGGTAAAGAAGCGCTGAAAAAATACTTTCTGCAGCCATAAAATAACTTAAAAATAAAAGAAATAACATCACAAGTGACTGATAAAGGAGAATGTATTTAACAGTTTGTGACAGTTATCGACTAGTATTTAGCACTGTTCTGTAAAATTCAGAAATAGATGGTAAATAATGGTAAATATAATAGTTTTGACATCTTTGTTTAACATGTGGTCTCTATGACATTGTTCAATGCAAATGGTTAAATTTGGTCACAGATATGGTTATATGGTTGAGCCCTGTTTTGGACTTAAACTGTAGTCATGAAAATATTTCAATCACACGTTTGGTTGTGCATTACAACTTAATGTATAATGATATCAGAAGAAATTCTGTCAACAGAATAGCTACATACATGTTGTGTGGGAGTTTACCTTAATGTACTGTGTGCGTGGATACATCTAAAAAAATGATTTTTTTTACATGCAAAAGGCATGCTATATAACACTCAGAACCTTGACAGGTGATTTTTCAATGATAGAACAGAAATTGTATAGACGTTTGATATTGTGTTGTGTGATTTGACGTCATTCCGGTTCATTTGTCCTTCTCCTGTCAGTCAAGTTGCGTGTAATGTAACAAAGGCATATGTCAGTGTTGCCGTCAATAACACCGTCCCTCCATGTTCAACCTCCTCCCCAGGACATGTAACAATTATGTATAAATTCTAAGATGTCAATCAAATGTCGATTTTATCCATTACTCTATATTTGACGTATTAATATCTAGTATCAAAGACGTTGGTTTTCTGGTGGTTTTTTTTTTAAATAACTTATCGATGTGTTTACAACTATTGCTATTGAGTGCGAAGTATATATTTCCTGTTTTTAAAATACTCGAAGACAGATGATAGCATGCAACCACAAGTAACAGGGATGGACGAAAAACTAAATATGATATATATACTTAGTATTGTCAATATAATTTTTTCTTTCTTTATTATAATCACAAGTAAGGCTTCGGAAATATTAAGTCATGTGATTCAAAATCATTATTTATAGGCAATATTTAGCACAAAAAGCTTCAAAATGAATAAAATTATATATATTTGAATAAACTCGGGTACAACGTGGGTGTATCATACTCATGTGTATAAAGCTCAATAATAATTTGCGTTGCAATTAGTCAAATTAGTTTTACTGATTCTTTCATAACCTTTCAAATTTTTATTTTACCAGATATCTTCTATTTTCAAAATGATTATCCCAAAATATACAACGTTTTATTTTCATTATTTGAGCTAGAATGAACGTAATTTGTTATTCAGTTTTGTTCAGCCATAATGTGGGCGGATTTGTCGAGTGGTTAAAACTCCGGCCTTCCAAGAAGGCGGCCGGGGTTCGATCCCCGAAGTCGCCGTACGCATGGAATATTAGAAAACGTGTTTTTCTCCTGCCCACACAACTCCAACAACCCAGGTGGGGTATAAAATGGTCTGGGGTAGGTGTTGCGGTATCCGTGCTGTAGCATTCAAGTGAGGTGGCACTATAAATGATACCGTTGGAAGCACGGTTCCACTACAAACAGAACACAATACATCTCCAGCACACACGCAGGCATACACACATAGGGAGATATTAGCCAGGTGGCATATGACTAGTAGTTAGCGCCTGATAAGGCAGCTCCTGCAAATTCCTCAATATTATATTGATTAATATATATGCTAATTGTATTGACTGTAAATTATTGTATATCTATGTACTGTAAAGCGCTTTAGAGTGGCTTATGTTAGCTAGATAGGGCGCTATATCAAATGTTGTATATTATTATAATGTATCTAAAGTAATTAAACTCTTGACACAAGTTATGATAAATGCCTTGTTCTCCAAATCATGGTTATCATTTTCATTTTTATTTATTTTTAATACGTGAAGAAATACATTTGTATGTATTCTGATAATGATTACGCTGAATCCAATGTCAGGTATTTTTATTTTGCATTTGGTTATAAAAAAAAAAATGGAAAAAAAAGCCTACCATTATATTTACAACATCTGTGATACTTACCTGAATTGTTACCTATCTTAATGCGTTCAAAGGGTAAGTATGGTAGATATAATTGTACATGTGTGATAGTAGTACAGTGATTCAAAAGTAGAACACACACTGAACGAACGCGAAAGCACATAGACATATATTATAACATTTTTGGGTTGTGCACCTTAATATCATGTTCAATGAATTTGGATGACTTCTATCGATTGCCTTTTTTTAATATGATTTGATAAAAGTTTTTTCACGTATGGAAATGTTTGGTCGTGACTCTTTAATCTCATCGCGGTGTGTGAATGTTTGCGTTGGTAGTGGTTCTATAATCTTTTCATTCTTTTACTCTATAATCTATATTATCTATAAATAAATATTCATGTGTGGATATATGTTCGAGCTAATTTAATCAATGCAAAAAGCACAAAATAAAAATGTATGTTTAAGATTATTCGTACAAATAAATTTTGTTGTTAAACATTTTGCAATCAATTGATGTTAGTATAGGTTAACTTTAAGCTTATTATCCTACAGCTGCACAAGGGTCGTTGGTATCTCATAGATGGAATTCCATTTTGAAATTTAAATGCAGGTCTTTCTCAATTTGCCTTTTTTTAACAATTTGATAACCATTTGGTTTAAATAGAGAATGTGATAAATCTTATCTTTATTTCCGTATCATCTCAAGCTTCAATACGTTTTATTTTTTATTTTGAAATAGATTAGGCTATCTGCCATTTTAGGTTTGTTCACAAGACAGTGCTTTGAAGTTCCTATTGGTGGTGACGCCTTAAGGGGAATATAACAATCTCTGACAGTATGGCCAGACCATTTTATCTTCTATATATGAATTTAGTTGCAGACAAGTCAAGAAAGAGGGAAATGGGTTATTGAGTGGCCAAATAGATTAAAAGTACTGTAGGGTGGACTACACAACCTTTCAGTATAATGGTATGTGTCAGCTTACCGTCTGCATCTTTAGCTTCTAGGTCCTTTGCTTTGATAACAGCAATATTCAAGATGACAATAGGAGGCTGCGAAAACAAAACATATTTTTAAAAAATAAACAAAACAAATTACCTGTTGGTAATCTCAAGATCAATTCGTTAAAAAACATGTTATTAAATTTGGCACAACTACCCATAGCAATGTTGCCAAAATCTTTAACTTTGCGTTATCTACAAAAAATTATTTTAGTGAAAATAGTCAAACAGTTAAAAGAGTTTTAAAGTACCATACTGATTGCAAATTACGGATTTTCGACATTGAGTTTTATAAGTTAAAAAAATGCATTATTCTTGGTTCGTACGATTTTCAAGAGAAACACGGCTTGCCCAGGCAATAAATAACTGTATCTCCTTCAAGATAAGCAATACCTATGAAAAAACGATAGAGGTTTCTGAAGTGCAATCAAAAGTATAAGTCTAAGACCTTTGAAAAAGAACAAGGGGTATAAAAGCAACTTTCGGAAGGGTAGGATTTCTCTGCTTTGACAGAGACACCTGCCATGTTTATCAAGGTCAAATCTGAGAAATGTCAAGTTCTCAAAATGAGAACTTGTGTAGCCAAAACAAGAAAAAAAGATCCACTTATAATCATAGTTAAAAAACCATTGATAGTCATATAAAACTTATATATTCTATGGTGAAGTATAAATGTCAAAAACATATCGGGAGTCGGACATACGCCAACGGAAACACCGGAGGCAAAATAGCATTTTTGATACAAGAAGAAAACATCATATATAATATGAAAACAATGATGAACGACCCTTTCGGCAAAAAGCAGAGAGGAATCTGTTGCTTGACATTATTGATTTTGTTGCATTGCACCCTATCAACACAAAGACTAAAGACTCAAAGACTTTCATGAAAATACAAACTGTCATTACCTTTTCCTCTGTAGCCCTAGCAAGAAGGTGGGCGTGGTCCTCTGGACTAATGCCGAACGCTTCCTGTGCATACTGATACAGGTCCTGTATGAAAGGCGAATGTCCACCCGCTGTTGTCCCGATCTTGTGTTTAATGGTGTACAGGACCTCTATGTACAGAAGCTCGAACTGGAACGACAGAAGGATGTGAGAAATATAATTAAACGTGAAAAGTAATTATAGGTTTAACAGGAAGTGATTTGAATAAACAAATCTTCAAACCCGGACATATCCAAAGGCCTCAGGCAAAACTGATTTACATCAGGAAAAGGTAACTGTGTTTGTGCGAGGCACTCTCAAATAAGTCATTCTTAATACAGATCGATATATATATATATAGATTTTTTTTCCTGTGATTTCTTTATTTATTTCCTCATTTTATTTATTTATATATTGATTTATTTGAGAGAATCACATTGATGCTGGATCTTCTTCGGATTTGAAATGTTATTCCCTTATCGAAAAGTTTGAACAAGCGATACATTTTTTTAAGTTTTGAGTTTGAATAGATTAAGGGAACTAAAGAAGTCGTGCACAATCTGATTTATATTTATATTAACAATGACCTTCTAACCTTCGACGTGAAACGCAATCCCAATCAAGCGCCTTGAGCAAGGAGACATGAAACAAAATTGAAGATTGATTGCGCTGGAGGAAATCAAATTATTGTATGGAAACTCATTTTGCACAAGAAACCTTATCAAAGATTTTAATTGCCTCTAGGAAAGACATGTCATAGTGTGGACACAGATCCAGCCTAATAACAATATCTGTGATACCAGGAATAAAAAAACAAGTTATACGATATCAAAACGTAGTACTTCCAAGCATTTCACACCTGAGTCAACATACCGAGACACAGTATTTATTTTGTTGGCTATGAAGAGTTAACGAGATCTAACGTAAAACATAACACGGTACTTGAGGTTAATAATTTGTAGCTATTTTATATAAATAATAATTGCAAATCTGAAGTCACGAAAACAAGTTGCACTTATATTAAGAGCATGCAACCGTATAAAATTGGATCATGAGCAATCTTGATTAATTATGGAGAAAATCGTAAAAGATTCTGCAGTAAATATTGCACTCAGAACAAAAGTGCATATTTGAAAGCAACTTGCACTCAAGAAAGTCTGGTTATCTTACACATTTTTTCTTTTCTTTCTAAAATCCTAATTGAATATTTCATTTACATGAATACCTGTTTAAAGATATCACCTAAAAGGAGAAAACGGAACTATTTATACAAATATGTATCAAGGTATGGATGTTAAGAATAAAACAAATAGTTCTTTTAATTTCTGCAGGAATTACTTTTAAAGATAACAAAACTTTGGAACAATCTAGTTGGAAAACGAATCGTGTTAGATATACTTTAGCATTTTTATACAGTACACCATTATCTAAATAACTATTTATTTAATACAGAAAAAAAGTCACGAAATCAGACTTTATGGGGAAAGAGAAAGAAAAAAACTCCCATCAAGGTTTATGCATCAACAGGTTTCTGTAGCCAGTAGGCGGTCGAGTAGGGTGTTTACCCCCATAGTATCAAATCAGCCTGAAATATCTATCGCCGATCATTTTCAACAAATCATTCAATTTAAATGATAAAATCTTCCAATACATTGTATGGGGTAAAAGGGTCACACTGACGATGAGTTTTGGGGTGGGTATAAAGGGACGGCGACAAACCCAATTCCACATTTGGTCAATCGATAATGAAGATAGAAATAAAGATAGTTACTCGTGTAAAGCAGGAATGTATAATAATGTTATTCATGGGCATTCAAGAAAACTAAACATCAGTTGTTGAGAAATGGAAGTGCCTAAAGTACGATGTGGCAATAAATTCCAGATAAAGCGTTTGTTATTAAACGTATTCTGACCTTACCATTGTTCCATAATGTCAGAATGCGAGGTGACCATTATTGTCGTTTTGAAGCTCATTGTTACTAGAAGAAGAAATCAGCGACGTGCAGTCTGTAGTTTCTAAAGATACGATTACTTCTTCAAAAACTTCAAAAACAAAAGCACAATTTTCGACCATGGCAAAATCAGGAAATGGTTATTTAATTTATTTACTCATTACTTATTTAATTATTTGGTTGATAACAAAACACGACCACAAGTAACTATTATGTATCCCTACTATTAAAAGTTACTCTTATAAAGGAATGGTTGCTATGAGGGCCGTTTTACGGCCAACGACTGAAAGGTAATACAGTAACTGGTCCATTTTCACGGGGATCAAATTTCAGTTATATTTTCAGTCCCGGAATAAACATGAAACCTCCGCGTAATTTAAAGCGCTGTATCTTACTTGCTATATATATTAACTGTTCAGCTGTTAATGGTATATATTTATGTCACTATGATGATAACTTACCAGTTCTGGGTACAATTATACATCATACACAATAGAAGTGAAACCTAAGTAAACTGTCTGTTGTTTGGCTTCTTTGACGTGTGTTAGAACATTTGACTTGGAAATGGACTTTAATAGCCAAGTGTACGTCAATAATTTACAAATAAGGCATAAGGTTGTGAATAATAAAGCGTTCTTGAGTCAAAGATGGAATCATCCGGCTTATCGTACAGCTAAGTAGTAAGCCTTCATATTGTTATTAAAGATGTAGAAAAGCGGCTTATGTAGAAGAGTCGGTAGTGTCTTTGATGTACAGTTCTGAGGATATATGTATAAAATTAGCAAATCGTCAGTATATCTGAAAGTAAAACTGAAAAAAGCTTTTTGTTAAAAACAATAGCCATGAAAAGCTCTTCAATAAATCCAGTCTCATATATAAACAAAAGTAGGTCGACCGGAGGAGAAGTGGCACTGTAGGATTGACCATAGTTGGATTGACATTCTTGCCATCGAACACTACACAGATATTTTCCAGCAGGAAATCAATCATTGTCTTCTTTTATTGAAAGGTTTAAATGAATGGAAGGTATTGCATAAATTATCTGAAAAGAATATAAACATACAGAGTTTTGGACTATAACTTATAGATATGGCCATTATCTACTTGCTGGATTTTTCATGTTAAGTTGAATAAGGTTCAACACGAACATGTGCTTTTATTAATCCTTTATAAGGTGACGTTCGATGTCATTTATCAAACATTTTAATATGCGAAAAAGTAATGAATTATGTACAAAAACGAAGAAATGGAAGCACGTGAGGATTTGTAACCGTTCTTTGTATGTGGTAAACAATTTACAACGAAAAATTATCAAAATGTCGTTTGACATCGTTTGATACAATCAAATAGCAATAAAAGAGCTCATACATCCTATGATTATCTATCCTCTAAAATCTCACACAAAGGGGATCACCGCGGAGATCTAATTTTGCTCAGTTATCATAGAATATATCATGAGCTAAGTCTCATAAAGTTTACTTATCCGTCGTTAGCTGTGAAACTGCAATAATAGCAATCCCTCTTTGGTATTTTTGAAAAGACATCAAAATCCTTATGTCTACTAGTCGTTAAGCTAACAGGGCTCTTTAAACAATGGCGTTTTAGACGAACACTGTTTCATATGCAAGTCATAATTACAGCATGTTTCATAAAGTTGGTGTCACGCTGAGATAAGCTCTATACCATAACATCGACCATGCATAATGGATAAGGGCATTACTGTATTCTTTTAATGGGCGTAGGGAACATCGATGAACCAAGATTTAAGGCTAGGCCAAGCAAAGCTTATTGCATTGTTTATCCAATGTTTAATGAATGACTAACATCGTTATTATCACTCAATCTATGTAATGATTTCCAAGAAATCTTTCAAATTTAAGTGTTTATCATACGTACGAAACCAAAGAGCTTCAATTGTATGTCCTATTTTTGCCAAGAATTAGTCATTTTTTCATTTGCGGAATAGTCATAACTGAATGGGACATACGTGCTGCAAATTGTTGGTTCAAATCCTTCTTGTTCCAGTTTTTGTGCCCTTAACCGATATGTTACCACTATTTGTAAACCTCTCCTTAGAGAAAGTCGGTCAAAGTCGACAGCCAATCACATATCCGGATTTACATCACGTGATGTAGGCAGAGGGGTAATAAATAGAAGGACCTGCTTGGTATTTCTTTGTTCCGCCATTACATCCATATATTTTATATTGAATATCTCTGGTTCGAAGTTAGTTATGCCGCAACTTTTTGGCTATCAAGATTTCGATTATGTTGTTAACATTTTTATGTAGATGTTAAGGTAACATTGCTGACATTGCTGTTCCATGTCTTCCACGCTGTTCGTCATGTAATTAAATGACATTTACTGTTAACACGAACCAACATGCGTAAAACATGTACTGCCTCCAGCACTAAAGCTTACCGGGCTCGCAAACATGTCTCGTTACGGCCAATACCTTTACACAAAGTACATGTAGCACGCAGGATTCGTATTAACGGTACAATCGTTGGTATGCATATATGGTCCATACTTGAGGTACAAATGGTATTGAGGTCTATATCTTGGTTGCAAGTTAATGCAGGACAGATATATATTTAGGGTATGGGCAATATCTGGGGTACAAAGCAGCGTGTATGGTCGATATATGGGGTATATTTAAGCATTGAACTGTTTTTGTAAGGTATTTTTGATCTATTTGAATGACACAGCTTTGCAAGCAAACAACATAATGCGCGCTAGCGCATTTGGTTTGTTTGCTTGCAAAGCTGTGTCATTCAAATATATCATAAATACACTACCAAAACAGTTCAATACTTATATTTACGTTTTCTCTGCCTCTTATGTTCTTTTTAAACTTATAATTTATATTTAAAATTAAAAATGCCCGCCTTATGGACAGTCCACACAATTTCGTTCATTAGTTTGAACAGCGTATTGTCGCGTGCTGATTGGCAAACAAAGTAGTACTTTGAAATTTTAACAAACACTTCAATTTTATTCCACAATTTAGAATAAATACAAGTGCGTATGTTATGTCTATAGGGTGATTTAAGTTTATCAATAGAACTCTGAGCTGAAAGTTAGATTTGAAAATTGATTCGATTTTTCCCCGGAACAAATAACACGCATGGACAAAAACAGTGAACACCGTAAATCCGACCTTGCCCTCCACGAGGGAGTTATTTTCGGAAGTTAATT